GGAGAGCTGGGATGGCGGAGGCGTCTGCCGGTTTGGGCTGCCACTCTGCTCCGGGCTGCCGCCGCTTGCAGAAGCTGCTGGTGGCCGGGGATTGGACCTCTGCGCCCAACGGGGGGGGGGGGGCACCTGTTGAGCCGGGCAGTTGCGGCCGCTTGGTTAATAGCCAGGCGGGTGTGGCAGCCGCTTGCAGGGTGGGTGTGGTGGCCGCTCACTGGCCTCCCGTGAGATCCCGGTTGGCGGGGCCGTCTGCCGGTTCGGGCTGGGCGGGCCAAGCTGCTCTGGGTGCGTGCCGCTTGCGAAAGCGGCTGCTGGCTGAAGGACTGGACTTCTGCACCCGCCGCGGGGCTGCCTGTAGAGCTGGGTAGCTGCGGCCACGTGGTTAAGAACCTGGCGGATGGGCGGCCTCCCAGGAGAGCCGCTTGTAGGAGCGGCTGATGGCTGTGGGACTAGACCTCTGTGCCCGCCTGGCCGGCCAAGATCCACTTCTCTGGGACAAACTGTCACTTCCAATAAACCAGTTCACGGCAGCTCTCCTCCTAAGGGAATTTTGCTAGAAGTTCCTCCGTAGGTAGGCTGCAGCTGTTCCAATGGGTCTTTTTTATCCCGTCAAAGTGGAGACATTGGGATCGCTGCTTCCTCGCCGGCCGCCATGTTGGATCCGCCGAAGAAAGTACAGCTTTGTAGATTCAAACAGCAATTCTTTATTCCCGAACTCACACCGGCCTCTACACACGTTCTAGGGAAATCCAAGTTCTGCCTCGGGAAAGGTTTTTTAATGGAAATAATTTGAAAATTTTTCAAAGAATGGCGGGTACTGATATATGGATTAGGGGAAGGCTGTTTCACTTCGTGGGGTGAACTTTGAGGGCTAGAGGAAAAACAGAACGAATGTGGATGTATGGCTTATGTGAGGAGCAGTCAAGCACTCCTCTCTAGCCTACCATCTCCAGTGTCTTTCTTGCTCTTTTTTGTTGTTTTATTGATTTTATTTTTAAGCAACAGAGCTGTTCAAAGAAAATCTTAAAAGATGTATAAATACAAACAAAATTAATGCATAAGTACTTCGGTTGAAAACAGACCTACCTTCCTGTTTTTTTACTTCCTAATCTCTTTATCCTTGCCTCCACAGTCCTTGAGATACCCACTCAGTATTCCTAGGATAGTACAGGGCAATTGAAAATGTAGAGAAATCAAATAGAATGGACTGTATTCAGTAAAAAATATGAAAGTCATTAGTACTTCATGATAGAATTATCCTATTAATGTTATCATATTCTTCGTTAATTCCACAGCCATCACATACTGTAGGCACCCTGAAGCTTTTCAAATTATTGTTGATTAATGAATCATAATTAAAGCCATATATCAGCAAGAATACTCTGTTTGAGCAAGAACTTTTTAACAATGAAATATCGAATAGATGCCTGGAAAAGATAGAATAAAAACAAAAGGGCACATTGGACAAATGAAATGACAACTAAGTCAGATTTCCTTTTTGTTTAACCAGACACTGGTCCTTTGTAGTTATGTCTACTACCATCATTTAGCATAGGTTTGAATAAATGGTAAGGCTATATCTTGTAGCAGAGATTTCTGATTAACTTTCTTAGTCCTATTGTATTTTAAAATGTTCAAACTTAGCAAAACTCAGCTTTGCAAATAATACACCAGGCCTTTAGGTCATATTGGTCATAGATTTGATGATACTAATATCAGAGGATGAGGGTAATATTAACCTTCTTCCAGTTTTTCAATCTTGTTTTTAAAGATGTATTCTGTTACTTGACATTTGTTGGTTTTCTTAGATAATTGAAAGTTAATCATTCATACTCTTGTTTGATAGTGATTTTACATTTTCAAAATAAATGCTTCTTGAATCATTAAACTATTTTATTTTTTAAAATTTATTTTTCAGTCTGATCTTGTGGATCAAAGTATATTTAATTTTATCCCAGAGGGGGAACATTCAGAGTTTTATAAAATACTCTCTACCCATCTGCTGGAAAGTGATTCATTAACTCCTGAATACTTAAAATGTAAGTAGTGACTGTGAAGAACAAACTCAAATATTATATTTGATAGCCTTATCCTTTACTTTTTTAAGTTTGTGAAAAATAGACATATTTAATAATTTAGAATGCAGCCAGTCATGGTAGTGCACTCTTCTAATCTCAGCAGCTTGGGATGCTGAAACAGGAGGATCGCAGGTTCAAAGCCAGCCTTAACAACAGCGAGGTGCTAAGCAACTCAGTGAGACTCTGTCCAAATCAAATACAAAATAGGGTTGGGGATGAGGCTCAGTGGTTGAGTGTCCCTGAGTTCAATCCCCAGTACTCCTGCACATACACAAAAAAATGTAAAATACAGCATTGTTACCTATACCCTATTGTGTGCTTTTTAAATATTAAAAATATATGTATATGTGTATACATGTGTCTATATATAATGGAATTGTGTTCATATTTTAAATCTGAAATCTGTTCCAAAGTATACTGAAATTTTATCTTGTTTTGTTATAATAAACCTGACCACAGCTAAGCCATAAAATTGTTTTATACAGAAATGGAAACCTGGCAATCAATATCTTTTTAATATCTGAATAAAATCATGTTGTATTTATTGATATAGATAATTAAACCTTCTTGTTTTGTTCATTGTGGACTAAGTGGGCACTCAAACTATGGAGGAAAAAATTGCAAATCTTTTAAGATTATTAAATTAAAAGAAAAATTATTTACTTTTTAAATTAAACTGATTTAAGTAACCTTTTATTGGATTGTGTAATGTGCTAGGCACTTATGCTTTATCATAAAAAGAACCAAAATAGTGAAAAACATTTCTTACCATCAAAAACCACAAAATATTATGGTATAATTGAACATTTCTACTAGATTTGTTAGGCAAATAGTGTACAACATTTTCTTCACTGTTACTCAGTATGAACTTCAGAATTGTTACATCACTGTATTTGGCCATTAATTATTAGACATCTTCTTTAATAATTTTTTTTCATGTTTTTTAAATGTTTCCTTATTTGGAAATAGTGACATCAATCATCTTAAAGCTTCTTTGTATTTAAATCCTAAAATTCTATAATCTATTAATGACTGTCCAAAAGTTAAGATATACAGATGTTTATCTTTTGTTAAGAATGGCTAGCTTTTCAGGGAGAGAATTCATTTGAAGCCTAGCTGTCATTTTTTATAATCAAGTTTGTATGACATTGACCTAGGTCATTATAATCTTAATATTTAGGAGAAAGATTTGACTGGATCTAATAGATATAGAAGCCAATAATGTGCCTATAAGTAGTATTTGAGGTAATGAAATGAACAATATTGCTTGAGGTAAATATATAGAGTAAGGAGAGAAGAATTAGAAAGGGACCCTGGGAGAGAGAAACAGGAGGACAAAGATGAAGGAATTGACTTTAGACACCCTCACAAGGACAGAATTGGCCATAGAAGTGAATCAAAATATCGGGCATAAAGTAGAGACCATAGACTTCTGTTTCTAAGATCAGAGATGAGAACAGCAATACTACTTTTCAGTAGATAAATCAATTAAGTGCCTTAAGCATTGGATACACAAAAGAAGTTCTTCCCCAGGGGGAAAAAAAAGTGTTTGATGTGAGTTAAAACTTAGGGGACATTGCTTAGAAAGTTCAGTAGGTCATTTTGGTTGTAATGAAGGTGGTACATTTGATGTAATTTATGTCTAGAAAGGGAAATAAGGACAGAATTATAAAGAGCCTAATATTTCATCCTATAGAGTTTTTATGTTTTACATTGTGGAGAGTGAGTGAAGGAGATTTCGGTGTTTTTATAATCAGAAGGGTGAAAGGGGAGTCACTGAGTAGAAAATTTTGAAAAGGACTGCACTCAGGACAAAAAGGGAAAATTGATGTTATTGTTGTAATCAAAGTAAGGATGAAGAGGAAAGTATATGAATGTTATGTAAGGAAACTCCGTAGGCTCTATGTTAGGTACTGGTGACCAAGCTGGGGAGGGTTTTGGGAAGACGATGATACTTAGATTTTGAACCTGTTGAGTTAGATGACAAAACCATCTATTTTGATAATAAAAGAGCATGAGCTTGATGTGGTGAGTGAAGGAAAGTGTTACTAATCCTTGAGTGTTGAAGCAGTGCTATAAAAGTAGTATTAGTCTAAGTCCTACCAGTGATCTGCTCTGACAAGATGAGCTGGGTTCCAAAGAGCTGGCTGCAACATGAAGCTAAGAAAATGGTGAAAAGTCACACAATACAGAAGTAGTTTTCATGTTGAGGGTAGGATGGCTCTGTGACCTTAAGGGTCAGCTTCTACACTGGAAGGTGCTCGAAAGACAGCGTGCACCCAGAATCTCTTTATTTTTATAGGGGAGTCACACAAAGGAGATTCCAGAGAATGTTCTTCACCAAATAAGGCGTGGATTAAGGTTTTAAAGGTAGAATCTTGCTTCGTGGTGTCTTGTGGTCAGCAGATTGATTGACATCTTGGCAAGTCACTAATGCTGTATGGGATCACAGGCAGAGCGAGAGAAATGGCGCACTTGCGTCGCACAGCCCAATCAGTGTGAAGTGCCAGACCTGTCCCCTCATATAGCTCCAGTGAGCATAGCTCACACACACAGCCCGTGGATGGCTTGCAACAGTTAAGTGTAGTAGGAAGGGATGAATCAGAGGCAAGAGAGTGGAGGCACAATGAATAAATGTTTCAGCTATCTAGATGCAAGGCAATTTGTGACTGCACTGAGTTGATGGTCCTAAGTGTTAAGTCGAAAAATGATTTATGAGAGTTTCCTTGGTGAAATAAATAGCAGGGCCTGGTGACAAATTAGCTTTGGGATTTGTAATAGGTAAAGAAGAGAGCAAATTGATATGTAGAGGAAGTAGGGATATGGTTTCTAACTTTGAAATAAGTATACATATGGCAAAGAGGACAGCTAACTTAGGAAGAAACAGGAAAAATTCACTTTCAAATACTTTGAGTTTAAATTATTGATGGGACATTAAGTGGAAATATCCTGAAAACAAATAATGATATGAGAATTTGTGTTACATAAAATGTTAGTGTTGGGGAAAGATATGGAGTGGTAAATAAGATTTCTAAGACCAGTCAGTTTATAGCAGATCTCAAAAGATGAAGATCAAAAGAACCCTTTTGAAGTTTGCTAGTTTTTGAAGATGGTTTAGCAGAAAACAGAGGAATAGTCAATAGGTAAGAAGGCAAGTTCATGTTACAGGAATGAGGAAGTGTGAAATGAAGAAAAACTATTGAAGTTGACAGTACAAATGTTGATAGGCTTTAGAAGAGTAGAGGTGCAAGGATGCAAGCCATAGTGCATGAGGTAAAGGGAAGTGAGTACATGAAAACAGGAACACTTACTGAAAAGAAAGAAGATCTCTGACACTAAAAAAATGAAAAAAAAAAAAACTCTTTGAAATGGAAGACCTGATCAAATTTAAAATTGTAGAAATTAAGGACCTAAAGAAGAAAATTAATGGCCATTAGTTATTAGATACATTCTATAATCATCTTTTCATGATTTTTGAATGTTGCCTTATTTGGTAATAGTGATATCAGTCATCTTAGAACTTCTTTGTATTTGAATTGTTAAATTCTATAATGTATTAGCAACTGTCCAAAAAAAAAAAAAAGTGATGTAGACCTGGTCTTTAGAAGATAGGAACAGCAGCTGTTCAAAGTAGAAGCATTGGCTTTAGACTGGGAAGCAAAACCTTTCTTTGAAATTAGAGTGAAAAATGAGAAAGGACAGGTAAAAATAGAGAACAGTAAGTTGTTTTTACAAGGTGAAATAGCTCTTGAAGGTACTTTACTTTTATGGACTAAATAATCTGTCATTGAAGACGTTTGCTGAAGAAAATGTGAACTCATTCAACAATAAAAAAACTTTTGTAATCTTATTTCATGTGATATATGACAGATATTGACTTTTTAATCATTTATTTCAGCAAAAAATCAATTAGAGTTCTGTTGTCATATGCTTCGAGGAACAATAGATCCAAAGGAGCCATCTACCTATGAGTATGTGAGATTTATAGGAAATTTCAAATCTTTAAACAGTGGTGAGTTCAATGCTTTTCTTAGAATGTATTTTAAAACTTCATATTTTTCTAAGTAACAGCCAGATTTTACTGGAATAACTGATGATACATATTTCCTTACTGTTTTAGTATCTACTGCTGCACATAATGGTTTTGAAGGAACCATACAACGCACACATAGACCTTCTTATGAAGATAGGGTTTGTTTTGTAGCTACTGTCAGGTTAGCTACACCTCAGTTTATCAAGGTATGTTTCTAATTTACGTTTTAAGAGGTTTTCAGTTTTTATATAATTTTTAATATAATTTTTTTATTGGTTGTTCAAAACCTTACAAAGCTCTTGACATATCATATTTCAAACATTAGTTTCAAGTGAGTTATGAACTCCCATTTTTACCCCAAATACAGATTGCAGAATCACATCGGTTACACATYCACATTTTTACATAATGCCMTAYTAGTAACTGTTGTATTCTGCTACCTTTCCTATCCTCTACTATCCCCCTCCCCCCCACTTCTCTTTCTAGCCCATCTACTGTAATTCATTTCTCTCCTTATTTTTCTTTCAATTCCCCTCACAACCTCTTTTATGTAGTTTTTTATAACAATGAGGGTCTCTTTCCATTTCCATGCCATTCCCCTTTTCTCTCTCTTTCCCTCCCATCTCGTGTCTCTGTTTAATGTCAATGTTTTCTTCCTGCTCTTCCTCCCTKCTCTATTCTTAGTTKCTCTCATTATATCAAAGAAGACATTTGGTATTTGTTTTTTAGGGATTGGCTAGCTTCACTAAGCATAATCTGCTCTAGTGCCATCCATTTCCCTGCAAATTCCATGGTTTTGTCATTTTTTAGTGCTGCATAATACTCCATGGTGTATAAATGCCACAGTTTTAAAATCCATTCATTTATTGAAGGGCATCTGGGTTGGTTCCACAGTCTAGCTATTGTGAATTGTGCTGCTGTGAACATCGATGTGGCCGTATCCCTGTAGTACGCTCTTTTAAGGTCTTCAGGGAATAGTCCGAGAAGGGCAATAATAATTTTATATAATTTTTGTCTCTAGAATGACTAAATTTTCCTGCAAGCATTGAAGTAGTAGTGGCTATTAAATATGTATGATTATGATTATGATTGTGATATTTCAGAAACAATGGGTCATGAAAACATAATTTTTTAGCATATATTGCAGTTAGCCAGTGATTATGTGTCACCATTTGCCCTGTTTTTGTGCCAGATTTAGGATACTTGGTATATAATTTACTTTCTTCACTAAAGGAGAAAGTCCAAAAAAATCTAGGTAATTTTTGAAAGATTGTTTTTGAAATTTTCTTTTGAAATGTGTAAGTGGCTTTTATTGTATATAATTTACCTTTTACATTTTCAAATTTAAGTAATTTATTTTTATTTTCTGGGCCCAACAAGCAGACAAATAAGGAAATGGGTTAGCTCAACCACTTAGAAGTGGCTGGAATGAAGAAACCAGGACAAGATTTGAGAGACACATGGTGTAGGACACTAAGTACTGAGTTAGCAATTAGAAGATCCAAAATCAGTCTTGTTCTGCTTGTTTTGATCTTAGGAAGTAATAACAGTAGCTAGTGTTTGAGCACTTACTGCATGCTATACTTTTTTACATTCATTATCATGTAATTCTTATAACAGCCCTGAGATACATGCTGTTATCGTCCCTATTTTGTATATAAGGAAACTGAGGCTTAGAGAAGTTAAGTTTCTTCCCCAACGTCTCTATTAAATGTCAGAACTGGAGTCTTGATTCTTTTTCTTTCAGAGCCCAGCTCCTTGACTATATTAACATTGTGCTGCAGGAGGTTATTTAAGGGTACAGAGGAAGTTTATAATACATTAGCTAGTGTGACCAGAGTCTAGGGTTCATATATTGGAGAAAACAGGATAGTAGGAAGTATGGCTAGAAAAGTAAGCAAAAGCAAGAAATGAAACTTATTTCTGTTTTTTCTCCATGCTGAAGAAATTTCAGTATGAGGACCCTCAGAAGATTTTTAGGCAAGAAAGTTACATAAGCATATTTGAGTATTAGTAGAGTAATTGTGACCCCAGAATAGAAGACCAATTGAAGGACAGAGAGGCTGTTTAGTTCAATGTTAGCATAGTAAGATGCCACTGATGGTGATGATCTAAACTAAGCCATAGAAAATGGATGGGATATATATTTTTTTTAAAAGAATGTTAAAAGGTGAAATTGAGAAGATTAGTAGTGGCCACTTGGATGCTAAAAGGAAAAAATGAAAGAGTATGTTATGAATATCAGATTTCTAGACTTTGGCACTACACAGGTAGGTGTCCATCAATTAGTTGGAAAATTGTACAACTGTACAATTAGTTCATTTTAGGGCATACTGTTTGAGGTGTATGGGGCTATCTGAAGAGAAATATAGAACAGTAACTCAGGAGAGAAGTCTGAAGCAATAACTCTACAGTCTGCATTTTAGTATCATTTATTGCTCCATTTAAAATTGTTATCACAGCAGGGTATGGTAATATACTCCTATAATTCCAGTGATTTGGAAGGCTGAGGCAGGAAGATCGCAAGTTTGAGGCTAGCTTCAGCAACTTAGCAAAGCCCTAAACAATTTAGTATGAGACCCTGTCTCAAAATAAAAAATAAAAAGGGCTGGGGATATGGCTCAGTGGTAAAGCACCTCTGGGTTCAAACTCTTACCAAAAGAAAATATATATTTTTTTAATTAATTTTTTTCAAAGGTATTCAAATGCTGGCCTTCCTAGGCTAGCACTTGACCACTGAACTGTATCTCTAGCTTATCACATTTTAGTACTAAAAAATTAAATTTGTTAAAAATTTATTTAGGGAAAAGTCATCTAACAGTGACTTTTATATCTAATAATATTAAGGATTCTTCTAAGAACACAGGGAAGTATTCCTGAATTTTAATTATCAATTTATTTGTAGGAAATGTGTACTGTTGAAGAACCCAATGAAGAGTTTACATCTAGACATAGTTTAGAATGGAAGTTTCTATTTCTTGATCACAGGTAATTAACTTCATTTTTAAACTTTTTAAAAAAGGTAATAGTTATGTTACATTATTCTTGACTAATGGATTTTAAGGACAAAAATTTTTTTCTAATCAGGATTTTCAAATCCATTTTCCATTTTTTAAAAAAAGCTCCCCAAATTAATATCTGGTTAAAATGTTTCTTGTGGGGTCCTTATAATGTTGATTGTTTTTCAACTTAGGGCACCACCAATAATAGGATATTTGCCATTTGAAGTTTTGGGAACATCAGGCTATGATTACTATCATGTGGATGACCTAGAAAATCTGGCAAAATGTCACGAACACTGTAAGTAAATTTTAATATTTCTGGTAAGGTTAACTTTTTTAAATCATATAAAGAGAAATCTTGTCCCATTAATGAAAGGTAGTAAAATGTAGATTTGCTGTAACTTTTTGTAAGTATATAAAATAGAAACAAGTTTAGTTTAAATTTGATCTGATTCCTACTTGATTGATTATCCATATAAAGCTGAATCTACTAGTATATTTTAAAAATACAAAGTTTCTCAAATTAACCACAAAAAACACACACACTTTGCTTACCATCTATTAAAGACTTCAGAACTCAAAACCTGCAGAGCATGTGTTGGGAATAACAGTTACTTCAAACAGTGATGTTATTTTGCTTTTGGTTAGTTAAGGGTTACAAAATAAATGCCTCGGAGATACTGTACTTGAGAGTGTCTGTGGGAAAAAGAAGGTCTGATGTGATTACTTCCTGTTGCTACCCTTAGTAAATATAGAAGGAAATCAGCAGTTGAATCCTTGAATATTTGGAACTTTTATTGTATGTGAAAAGTATATAAGATCAACAATGACTGGCTTCAAAGTTTGACACTATAGAAGATGTGAAAATTACTTGAGAACTTAAACCAGCCCTAAAGAATTGCATTTTCCTATCATTGGTATATATTTTTTGAAAAACCAAGAGAAGAACTATATGTAGAAGAACTATATGTATCATTTAAATGTAAATGATAGTTTTTGATTTAAAAAAACAGATTCTTCATAACTAAGTATGAATCAAAGAAAGTATTTTTTATTTTCTTTTCAGTAATGCAATATGGGAAAGGCAAATCGTGTTATTATAGGTTCCTGACCAAAGGGCAGCAGTGGATTTGGCTTCAAACTCATTATTATATCACTTATCATCAGTGGAATTCAAGGCCAGAGTTTATTGTTTGTACTCACACTGTAGTAAGGTAATAATTCTTTCAAAGAACTTTTGAATTATGATAACATTCTTTAACAATTTTGGCAATGTAATTTTTATGCCTGACATAGTATATAAGTTTCTAAATCACAGGTAACTTAACCTTAATGTTTTAATGTGTTAAACTACAAAGTAATCTTTTTTTAATATATTATTAAATTTTCTTACATGCATTCTAGGAATGTCATATAAGTAGTAGATATATAATGCTTGACATAAGTTCTGTGCTTTACCGCAGAATTCATACTATCACTTATGTACCAAAGTCAGTTATGCAATAGGAAAACTGGAAAGAGCATACTCTTTCATTTTTTAGTTCCTCTTAATATACATACTGTGTTGTCAGAGATCATTTATAGTAGCATATAAAATTTTCATATACCTAGAAAAATGCAAATTGAGTTAAGAGTATCCTGTAGATGTGTTTTAGGTTTGTGTAGTACATAGAAAAGAGTCTAGAATTAGTGAAGAATTTAAGTGAAGCACATAACAAATATTGAATGGTTGCAACTCTACAATATCTTAATGAATGAACAAACACTAAAATTGATTTTTTCAATTTATAGTTATGCAGAAGTTAGGGCTGAAAGACGACGAGAACTTGGCATTGAAGAGTCTCTTCCTGAGACAGCTGCTGACAAAGTATGTTTCTTATAGTCTTTTAAAAATATAATTACCTAATTTCTTGCCATTGAAACTCAAACTCAATCAGTAGGAAGATTGCTTCTCAAATACGTCCTTTCCTCAAGTATGTCAGTATGATTATACTTTACTGTTTACTTTCATTTTTCATTTAACATTTTAAAATTTCATTGACTTCTAAAAAAAATTGAAGATCTTACCATTTAGCAATAATAAGGATAGACATCTAATCTCAGATTAAAACTACTATTATTAGTTACCTTTGATGTGTTAGACTTTAGCTTGATTCTTCATATGAATTATGATGTGTGATTTACTCCTTGGATCCTTAATCTCATAAGTAATATCTCCATTATGAAACCACTGAAACTCAGATTTAAAGGAGAGGGTTGAACCTGCCCTTCATGATACATGACTGAGAAATTATAGTCAGAAATTGAACTTTGGTTTCTTTCTTTTGCTCATGTTGAAGTATAGTATATTACTTCTCTGTTGCTATGTAATGGTTTCTCCAGAACTTAGTGATATAAAACAACACACATTTATTATCTCTTAGATCATGTGCATCAGGAATCCAGGCACAGTTTAGCTGGGGCTTCCACTTGAGGATCCATCAGAAGTCTACAGTCCTCTCAAAATTCCACTCAGGAACTGTTCATTTCCACCTCACTCAGTGGTTGTTGGCCCAATTGTTCCTCATGGGCAGTTGGACTAAGGGCTTTAGTTCCTTGATGGCCAGAGGCCACCTTCATTTCCTTCCCAGGTGACCCTTTCCATCTGAGCAAGCATGCAAGAAAGTACAGGAAGAGAAAGTACCAGGCAATTGTACTTAAAAAGGTTTTGCTTTTTAAGATGAGAGAAATAATAGCATGTTTGTATACTAAGAGAATGATCTGGTAGAGCAAGAAAAATTGAGTAGTGTTTTGATTAGGTAAGAGAAGGTGGGATCTAGAACACAAGTGGAAAGATCAGGTTTAGCTAGGGGGACAGATTATTTGACCATAGCAAGAGTTGGCAGCCTGAGGGCCTGAGGCCAAATCTGGCTCTCTGAATGTAATGCCCACAAACTACAAATATTTTTACATGTTTAAGTGGTTGAAAGAAAATCAAAAGAATAATAATGCTTTATGACACATGAAAAGTAAATCAAATTCATATTCTAGTGTTCATAAATAACATAACCACACACATTCATTTATAAAGTGTCTGTGGCTCTATTTGTACTACAGTAGCAGAACTAAATAGTTGTGACTTATTCTATGGCCCTCAGAACCTAAGAGATTGACTCTCTGAAAGAACCAGTAAATGTTACAGAAAGAATTGATTGATCCCTGATTTATAGCAACATGAAGAAGAATAAATATGTGACTATCACATTTTCACAGTTACACTCTCACTTTATGTGTTCTGTCAATATCCAGCTTAAATTTATGGTTAATTATTGTAACCATGCATGTATCTTCAGCTCCCTAGCACCTGTCACCCTTTATCACAAATCCTTGGCAAAATCTCAGTGCTGGTTAAACCCAGCTGTTAAATGGATAGGTATAGTAGTGAGAGCTTATAGCAATACTCTAAGTAAATAGGTATCAAGAGTTATCAGCCAAGAGTCAAGTAAGGACAGGAGTTTTTGGAGGTTTGAGAAGAGAAGTGAAAGTGTTAAATGGTTGTGTAGGCGAATAGAAAAGTGACTATTCTAGGAAATTATAGTCTGTTTGGCAGGCAGAATAAAAGCCACTTGCAGTTCTTGGTCATTTATTTGATGTGAAAAAATAATCATATTGTCTTTCTTCTGCCATCTTCAGCTCTGCAGGACCAGATATGGGAGAAGTTAAAAAAAAAAAATGGGTTTAACCAACACTGAGAATTTTGCCAAGCAAGTGTGATTAAGGGAAATAGGAACTAAGAAATTAAAGATACATGCATGGTTATAAACAATTAGCCACGAATTTAAGCTGGATAAAGAGAGAAGACACAAAAAGAGAGAATGTGATTGTGAAAATATGGTTGAATACATATATTGTGGGTTCCATTTAAGCCAAATGATTATTGGAATTGAGATACTAAAAGGAATGAGTAGGAAATATGGGAATTGTGGTCAGAGAAAAAGATGATTGAAACTGAGATTATGGGAAGGTTTATTCTTATTGAAAATGTCTCTAGGATATGACTGTAAGAATCAGTGGATGAGGACTGGTGGAAGAGGAGATCTTTGGAGGAGAGTACAATAAGGAAGAGAGAGGTTGTAGTATTGAATGTTTCTATGAATAACCTTGGGATTAATAGTTAATGAGGGGAATACTGAGCCAGATTCTAAAATTTAATTGCTGTGAAGTGACCATGGGGTCTGTACATAACTGTAAGAGACAGTGAGTTATAGCATATGATTTAATGTTAGTTTCAGAGTTGTGAGTTTGGGGAAAGAAGGAAGGGGAAGTGGTCTGGAACCATCAGTAGAAGGACTTTTGTAGAGTTGTGGTCTGAGAGTTGTGAGAGATAGAATAGACACTGCTGAAGAAAACTACAAGGAAAGTAGTGTCCTCTGGGGCAGTATGGGTTTTAGTTAGAGCAAGCCTGTGAAGGAATGTTCAGAGCTGAGGTTGAGAATACAGAGCATTTTTAAAATTGTAGACACTTAATGCAAGCAGGAGGTTTAGAAGGCTAGGAAGCAGTGGACGTAGGAGACAAATAGAATGAAGGACTGAATGAATAGTAGTTAGGGTAGAGGAAACAAGGCTTTGGGTGATATCACTCCTGTTTTTTTCCCCTAAGCACAAGTAACTTTGAGATCATACTATTTGTGTATGTTTGCATGGGTTTATACAGATTTGTATATGTGTGTGTGTGTGTGTGTGTATATATATATTGTGCCCCCTTTTAAGTAGCTCTCCTACAGTAAGAATAGGTATTTACTTCTTTTTTTACTGCTGCATATGAGAGTTTTTGATAGGACACTTTGCTCTATTATAATTTGGAGGAAAAGAAGATAGGTGTACTGTATATACATCCTGTATTAGCAGATAAGTTTTTATTTTTGATGGTGGCAAGATAAATGTTCTCATCTGTATAAGGCAGGGCTGGTATAGGGAGACAGATTTAAGGGTAGTGAATACAACAGACACTAGTATGTAAAAACATGGATGTGTAACCAATGTGATTCTGCAATCTGTATACGGGGGGAAAAATGGGAGTTCATAACCCACTTGAATCAAATGTATGTAATATGATATGTCAAGAATTATGTAATATTTTGAACAACTAATAAAAAAAAAAAGAAAAGGCATGGAATAATTGTGAAGGGTAGGAAAGTGAGCCCAACGTAAACAATGCTACTACCTAGTATTGGGTATCCATCTGAAGTTCATGATCCTTTAGTCAGACTGCACTTGTTCCTAGAGGAACCTTTGAGCAATTGAACTAGAATAAAAGAGTATGGCTTAAAGTGGTATTTTAATTTGTTTTCTTAGAGGTGCTACAGTGTTGATGTACAGGCAGAGACCGAGAGATGGAAGTAGGAGAAGGGAAAAAATTACTAGAGATGAGTACAAAGCTGAGAAGTAGGATAAGAGAGGATATTGGGTGATTCTTCCTTATGGATATTGAAATTTTGGAGAAAGATCAGAATTGGAGTAAAGATTTTGAGCCATCAAATGCTGAGTTCCAAAGGTCATTGCAGTATTTTGAATATAAAGTAAAATGTTATCACTATCTTTTTTTTTCTTTCTTAATGTGATAAGAAACAATATAAAATTGCCATTGAAAAGGGTACAGTTTGGTGTAGTTACATATATTCCCACTGTTATGCAGTTATCACTACCATCCATGCCCAGAACTTCTTTATCTTTCCAAACTCCAAACCCACTAAACAACTTCTCATTCTCCTGTCAGCCATCATTTTACTTAGTATTTTTTTTAGCTTGACTTCTCTAATTACTGCGTATGAGTAGAATCATATAATATTTGTCCTCTTATCCTGGCTTTTTTCATTTGCCATAATGTTGTCTGAGTTGATTATGTTGTAGCATGTGTCAGAATTCCCTTTCCTTTTAAAGCTGGGTAATATTTCATTGTATGTACATACCATATTTTGCTTATAGGTTGCTGTTACCTTTTGGTCATTGTGATTAATGTTACTGTGAGCATACATGTACAAATAACTGTTTGAGTTCTTTCATCTTTTTTGGAGAATTGCTGGGTCATACAATAATTCTTTTTTTTCAATTTTGAGGACGTGCCACACTGTTTTCCCTAGTGACTATGCCATCAAGGCACAGGAATTTAGATTTTTTACATTCTTGCTAACACAGGGTATTTTCTTTCTTTCTTTTTTCTTTTTTAATAGTGGCCATTTTAATGGGTGTAAGGTGATATCTCATTGTGGTTTTAATTCACATTTCCCTGATTAGTGAGGCTGAACATCTTCTCACATGCTTATTAACCATTTGTGTATCTTCTTTGGAGAAGTATTTATTTTGTGCTTTGCCCATTTTTTAATTGAGTCATTTGTTTTTCATTGTTTATTTATAGGAGCTCTTTACTCTTTTCATAGTATCATTTGATGCATTTAACTTTGGTAAAAGTCATTTTATTGGCAAATCCAATATCATGAAACTTTTCCTCAATGTTTTCTTCAAGAGTTTCATAATTTTAGCTCTCAATGTTTAGGTCTTTGATTCATTCTGAGTTCAATTTTTGTATATGGTATATGGTAAGGTGTAGTCCAACTTCTGTCTTTTTGCTGTTTCCTTGAATAGAGAATGAAGCCAAAACTTTCATGCTTTACAAAATAAGTTCTCAAGCCAGGTATGGTGGCACACACCTGTAATGCCAGCTACTAGGGAAGATGAGGAAGAAGAACACAAGTTCTAGGACCCTAAAGTAGAACCTTAAAATAAAAAATAAAAAGTAAACAAAAAGTTCTAGGACCTTAAAATAGAAAAATAAATAGTTCAGTGGTAAAGGGCCCCTGGGTTTAATCTCCAGTTGCCCCCACTAAAAAAAAATAATAATAATAATAATTATTATTATTATTATTATTTGGGGGGGGGTTACTGGTGATTAAACTCAGGGGCCTTTTACCATTGAGCTATATCCCCATTCCTTTTTATTTTTTATTTTTAGACAGATTCTCACTTAAGTTGCTTAGGGCCTCCTAAATTGCTGAGACTGGCCTTGAACTTGCGATCTTCCTACTTTTAGTCTCCTGAGTCGAAAATTTATCATTTCTTTTCCTACTATATATTACATAGGTAGTTTTGTCTTACAGGTAAAAAAATGAATTTTTTATTTTTATTTTTTTGTTAGTAAGCAGTATTTCTAATTTGAGATTCCTAAACTGAACCTCAAGAAAACATTTCTTTGTTTCCTTAGAGCCAAGATTCTGGGTCTGATAATCGCATAAACACAGTCAGTCTCAAAGAAGCATTGGAAAGATTTGATCACAGTCCAACCCCTTCTGCCTCCTCCCGGAGTTCAAGAAAATCATCTCATACAGCAGTCTCAGACCCTTCCTGTGAGTACCTTAACGTAAGCTTCCATTAAAGGGAGTGCTACCAAACTGTTTGTGTTAAAGGTTATTTGTCAAATTCTTCTCTAAAATTATAATTTATTTTTATAATTTTGAGGTATATTAACCTTTCCAGTGAGTTAGAGGTACAGTGCTCACTGTTAGCAAAGAATTAAGATCATCAAGTGGCCTATAAAACATGTAGGTTATAATGTTGTTATTGAAAAACTATTCTTACTGTAAAAGCCAGCAAATGTTCTTTAAATTTGTTTTTTAAAAAAATTTTGCAGTGGGCTGGGGATGTGGCTCAAGCGGTATCGCGATCACCTGGCATGCATGCGGCCCGGGTTCGATCCTCAGCACCACATACCAACAAAGATGTTGTGTCCGCCGAGAACTAAAAAATGAATATTAAAAATTCTCTCTCTCTCTCTCTCTCTCTCTCTCTCTCTCTCCTCTCTCACTCTCTCTTTTAAAAAAAAAATTTTGCAGTGTTTTTCTTTATGAAGATATGCTTAATTGTCCTTATGTTACAGTTGGCCCTCCATATCAATAGTTCTGTGTCTGTAGATTCAACCAAGTGCACATAGAAAATGGTTAAAAAAAAATTGTATCTGTATTGAATATGTACAGACTTCTTTTTATTTTCCTTATTCCTAAATAATAGAATATATCAAGTATTTACATAGTATTTGTATTGTATTAGGTATTATAAGTAATCTAGAGAAGATTTAAAGAACTTACAAGGATGTGCATAGGTTATGTGCAAATACTACACCATTTTGTGTCAGGAACTTTTGAGCTTCACAGATGTTGGTATCCACAGGGAGTCCTGGAATCAGTCCCTTTTTCAGGGAATGACTAGTAACTATTTTTAGATTGAAATTTTTTCAATTTCATGTGTTTTTTTAATCTTTAAAGAAGATAGAAGCAATTTAAATGAATTTCATAGTCATGGACTTTACTTTTATTGATTTAGAAAACCAACTAACTGAAGTACATTTTGAGATTGATCTTTGAAAACTGTATTTTTAAATATTAATGCTATTCTTTTATTGACTAACTTCAGCAACACCAACAAAGATCCCAACAGATACTAGCACTCCTCCCAGACAACATTTACCAGCTCATGAAAAGATGGCTCAAAGGAGATCATCATTTAGTAGCCAGGTAAGCTCTATAGTTAATATACTTTTGAATAAAGATTAATTAAAAGGGAAAGTTATCTAAATGTTCAGAAAAAGTAGTTGGTATATGACACTCAAGATTTTTCTTTAATTTTTGAAGTGATTACCATACATATAAGTCATTTTTGTTATTTTTCAGGTAAAATGTTAGGGTTTTTTTGGTGTTGTTGTTTGTTTTTTGTTTTTCCCCAGTTGTAAACAGCTGATAATTGAGAACAATTTTATATCTACATTCAGATACCAATCACCTATTGTTAAGTCCAGCCAACTTCTGAGACCTCATGCATGGTACTACGGCAGTGCCTTGGAAGATACAAAATAAATAGGGAAAAGGCTTTTCCAGTGTAGAAAGGGAGACATACCTGTACTCAATTTACAAAAATATGAGGCATATTGTAAGTTCAGAGATCAGTATATCGTGTGTATATTTCTGGTGGAAGTACTCATATTTGAGAATGAGTGTCACTTCAGTGATATTTTTTATTTTGCTTCTAGTCCATAAATTCCCAGTCTGTTGGTCCATCATTAACACAGCCAGTGATGTCGCAAGCTGCAAATTTACCAATTCCACAAGGCATGTCCCAGGTATTTTTTGTTTGTTTTAGTTGAGTCTTTACAAATGATAAATCTGTTTTAGGTAAATATGATTAAGTTTATAAATAGTTTTACATATATTTAAAATAAATAAAATATAACTATTATGTGTGTGTATATATATATACATATCTATGTAAGTACACACGCATATTTATTTACACTTATAGGTGCAATGAATCTTAATTAGGGGCATTTAGAGTGTCTGAGGACATTTTTGTTTGATACAATGATTATGGAGTACCACAAGCCCTTAGTAGACATGGGCCAGAGGTGCCAGGTGTCTTTTGAGATGCATGGCAGTCTTGTACAACAAAGAAGTGTACTACTTAATATACCAAAACACCACTTCCTCTGTTGAAAAATACTATAGACATGAAGTTATTAAAGGTGAAGTGTAACAGTTCATTTTGTTCTTCCTATGGATGTTGGAAGAATTGAGTAACTTTATTCATATTTTAGTTTTTGTGTTCAAATATAGGATATTTATTGATTTCCTGGGTGTAGCAGGAATTGTAGGTGTTGACAATATTTATATTAGCTTTACTAAAAGGCTATTGCATCTAAAGCGAAAAAAGTTAATTATGATACTATTATATAGTCTCTGTACATCATATAGACCCTTAATGCAGCCTGAAGAAGTGAAGAAAAACTTTCTAGGAGAATTGTTGCCTGGCCCACAACCCAAAGAAGGTCTATAAATAAGCAAGACAAGGGTGATTCCAAAAGTGATGCTGTTACTTTTGATCGTAACATTTTAACTTGGGATTTGTCACTTGTTCAGTGCCTCAGATATGTTAAGAATACTACTTAATAGTAATAAATATAAAATCTTAAGACTTGTCATTAAATATTTTTATAATTCTGATTTCTAATAATATGTTATCATATAAGGATTTTATAACATCACAGTTTTGTTAGGTATTACAATTTAGTCCTCAAATCCTATTTGTCAGAAGCTATTCTAGTACCTGAAGACTAAGTAGTACAATATTGAAGGATGAATAGACAGCAGAAGAAATCAAGGTGAAATGAAAAAATACATAGAGGTAAATGAGAATAGTGATACAATATATCAAAATCTCTGGGACATTATGAAGGCAGTTCTACCAGGAAAGTTCATAGCATTGAGCTCATTCATTAAAGAATAGAAAGACACCAAATAAATAATGTAACATTACATCTAAGTTCCTAGAAAAAAGAACAAATCAACACCAAAATCAGAGAAGACTGGAAGTAATTAACATCAGAGCTGAAATCAATGAAAGTGAAATTTTAAAAATCAACAAAACAAAAAGTTGGTTCTTTGAAAAAAATAAACTTAGTCAAACTAACCAAAAGAAAGAGGGGAAAACTCATTATTAAAATTTGTGATGAAAAAGAAAATATTACCACAAACACTACAAAAATATAAAGGATAACAGATACTATTTTGAAAATTTATACTCCAGTTAATTAGAAAATCTTGAAGACATCGACAGATTTTTAGAGACATATGACCTACCCATATCAAACCAGGAGTACATAGAAACTTTTAAACTTTAAGTAATGGAATTGAAAACACCATGAAAAGCCTACCAACAAAGAGAAGCCCAGGACTGGATGGATTCTCAGCCAAGTTCTACCACACCTTGAAAGAAGAACCAACACCAGTGTTCTTCAAATTATTCCATGAAATAGAAAAGGAGGGAACTCATTCTATGAAGCTAGTATCACCCTGATATCAAAACCAGACAATGTCACATCAAGGAAAGAAAACTTCAGACCTATATGCCTGATGAACATAGATACAAAAATTCTTATAAAATACTGGTGAATCTCATTAAAAAAAACACATTAAGAAGATAATAGTGCACCAGGATCAAGTAGGTGTCATCCCAGGAATACAAAGTTGGTTCAACATACAGAAATTAATAAATGTAATTCACCACATAAAGAGACTTAAAGACAAGAACCACAGAAGAAGCATTTGACACAGCATCCATTCATGTTCATTACATTAGAAAAATTAGGAATAGTAGGAACATTAGCATTATAAAAGCTAAATTTCTAAACCCAAGGCCAACATCATTCTAAATGGAGAAACACTGAAAGCATTCCCTCTAATAACTGGAACAAGACAGATATGCCCTCTTTCACTACTTTTATTTAGCATAGTCCTGAAAACTCTAGCCAGTACAATCAGGCAAAAGAATGAAATTAAAGGGATATGAATAGGAAAAGAAGAGCTTAAATTATCCCTGTTTGCTGGCAACATGATCCTATATTTAGTACCCCAAAAACTCCACCAGAAAAGTTCTAGAACTCAAAATGAATTCAGCAAAGTAGCAGTATACAGAATTAACACCCATAAATAGTTCCTATACACCAATGATAATCAGCTAAAAGAGAAAATAGGAAAACTACCCCTTTCACAAGCCTAAAAAAAAAAAAATACTAGGGAATCAGCGTAACAAAAGAGGTGAAAGACCTCTACAATGAAAACTACAGAACTAAAGAAATTAAAGAAGACCTTAGAAAGAGGGAAAGATCTCCTGTGTTCTTAGATAGGTAGAATTAACATTGTCAAAATGGCCATACGACCAAAAGTGCCATACAGATTTAATGCAATGCCTATTAAAATTCCAATGATATTCTTCATAGAACTAGAAAAAGCAGTCACGAAATTCATTTGGAAAAATAAGAAGCTCAGGATAGCTAAAGCAGTCATACTTGACCTTAAATTATACCATAGAGATACAGTAACAAAAGCAGCATAGTATTGGCACCAAAAGAGGTGTGAAGACCAATGGAATAGAATAGAAGACAGAAACAAACCCACATAAATATAGTTATCTCATACTAGACAAAACTACTACCAAAACACACACACACACACACACACATATGTGTTGAGTCTCTTCAACAAATGGTGCTAGGAAACTGGAAATCCATATATAATAGAAGGACTGCACTCAAAGTGGATCAAAGACCTCGATATTAGACCAGAAACCTTGCATCTACTAGAGGAAAGTATAGGCCCAGCACTCCAACATTGTCAGCTTAGGAACTAACTTCCCCATTCAATATCTCTAACTACTGGGGAAATGAAATGCAAATTAAAACTACACTGAGGTTTCACCTCACTCCAGCCAGAATGGCAGTTATTAAGAATTCAAGTAACAATAAATGTGGGGGAAAGGGTAACTGATATATTGCTGCTGGGACTGCAAATTAGAGTAACCACTCTGTAAATCCGTGTATGGAGATTCCTCAAATTTAGGAATGAAACCACCGTTTGACCCAGCTCTCTGAATCCTTGGTATATATCCAAAGGATTTGAAATCAGCATACTACAGTGATGCAGCTGCATGAATATTTATAGCACCTCAATTCACAATAGCTAAGCTATGGAACCAACCCTAGGTGCCCTTCAGTAGATGAATGGATAAAGAAAATGTGGTATCTATACACAATGGAATATTTCCCAGCCATAAAGAAGAGTGACTTTATGACATTAGCCAACCAGTGGATGGAACTGGAGACTGTCAGCTAAATGAAATTAGCCAGTCCCCTCAAAACCAAAGGTTGAATGTTCTCTCTGATGTGTGGATGCTAGCCCACAAGAGGGGTGATGCAGGAAGAATAGAAATTCAGTAGATTAGACAAAGAGGCATGAAGAGAAAGGAGGGAAGATAAGAATAGGAAAGACAGTGGAATGAATCTGATATAACTTTCCTGTCTACATATATGAATATACCACAGTGAATCCTAACACTGTGTACATTCACAAGACTGAGATCCTAATTAAATAAGGTATATTCCATGTTTGTATGAATGTATCAGAATAGATTATACTGTCATGTATAACTAAAAAGAACAAATAAAAATTTTTAAAATGCTATTTGTCTTCAAGTACTAACAGACTAGCATTCTACCTAGTGAGCTATATCCACAGCCCAAGCATTTCATAACATAGGGATATTTTTATGCAATAAGTAATGTACTATGTCAAACATACTAGTAAGCATTCAAATTTCACATTTCATTCACTAATAAAGCTTCAATACTTTGTCTTTTTGTTCTATAATTTTATTTCCTGTTATCCTTTGTTTTATGTTTGTTTCTATTTTCCTTTATGTACTTAATAGAAGTCCATTAAATGGTGACAACATAATGTTCACCTACAGGTTCAAATAACATTAGTTAAAATATGTTCGATAACATAAGTACAACATATTTTGACTAATATAAAAAAGACATGAAGCAGTTGTGATACTAAATTTGTAATATTTTCTCAAACCTAGTAGAATCTAATGTATATATAATATGGTCTGTTGTTTGTCATCTTCAGAAGTCAAGTTTGTATACTTTGGAAAGTAGTCTTCAGTATCCTTAATACAAACTTTTGAAGATAGGATAAAAAAGCATGGGGTAAACCATACAGTTCACTGTAGGAGAATATTTTAAAATAGATTTTCAGTAACTTGAAATTTTTTTCTGCCCTTATACTATATAATGTACTGGATATTCATGGAAATAATCAAATGAGACTATGTTGACTTAAGAGGTGAATTATCAAATGTGGCTAAATTACAAGCAGTAGAAAACAGGTACTGTTTATTACTTAAGTGTAAATCATAGAGAAATAAGATTGAAAGCCCTGGAAGTAGAGTAACTTTGTTTTCCTACATAATACATGCATTTATTCATAATTGCTTAGTCTTTAAAAGCCTGCTTTAAACTTGTCTGATGACAGTATCAGTTGAAAACATGAGTGAAAATAGTAATGTTAGTTATCTATCAGATTTTTGTCACTCTAGGTATCTCTACTGATAATGCAAGTAAAAGGACATTGTAGGAATGACAGAATTTGATATGAATGAATTCTAGGTATAGGCTCCATTTCCACATGGTGAAGAATAGACACAAACATAAAAAGTAATTTGTTCTAGTAAGTAACTGAGCCACCATTTGAACTCTGGTCTTCTAACTCCAGGTATACTTGTAAACATTCAAGATCCACTCAAAAGTCAAAAGCAAACCAGAAATTTGAACAGGGATAATATTTTTTAAAAGTATTAACTAGTAATTAAGAAAATCTGAAGAATACAGGAATAGGAGATGTAGACAGCAGCCACTAACTAGATGTCAGGGAAAGCACCCAAGGAAGACAGACTTGAAGGATTTCCACTAACTGATCAAACATCTCTTCCCCTATGCCAGGCTGAGAGTCATATCTCATTTTGGGGAAGCATGGCTATAGCCACTGGGTGATGGAAAAGTTCAAATAGCTGCACAAAGGAGGTCTGGAGAGCAGGAAGTCACCTGCTGTGGGAAACTTACAGCCCACTAAGGTATCATTGAGACTTGCTGAGGTGCTGTTGAGACTCACTAAAAAGCCTTCCACTGGCACCACTGATATATGAACATGAAGGAAAAGCACCAGAAGCAGGAAAATAAGCACCTTTGTTTGCATTGCCCTCTAGGACCATCTGCTGACATGGCTAATTTGTACATGCCAGCAAAGGAGAAAGTCCTAGGTCCCATGTCACAAAGCAAACATGGCAGATTAGAAGTTGAGAGGCAATACATGATAACTGACATAACATTCCTAATTCATGGTATATTGCTTATTTTTCACATTGCACAATTAAAAGAAGCAAGTATTTCTAAAATATTTTATACTTTTTTCCACACGTGGTACTTCAGTTTCAGTTTTCAGCGCAGCTAGGAGCCATGCAGCATCTGAAAGACCAGTTGGAGCAACGGACACGGATGATAGAGGCAAATATTCATCGGCAACAAGAAGAACTAAGGAAAATTCAAGAACAACTTCAAATGGTCCATGGTCAAGGGCTGCAGGCAAGTTAATGTGTTTTTTTTTTTTTTTTGTTTTTTTTTTTGAGTGCAAAGAAAGTGTGCCATTCACATTTTTTTTTGCTAGGAAACTGGCTTTTCTTAATGAAAAGAAGATGCATTTCCCAGATTCCATTCCGTAAATACCCATTAATTACATGATCAATATGATTATATTTACTTTCTCCAAAGATATTCATTCCTAAGGATATTTCCACCAGCATCCTTGTTTTTCCAGATTACTGAAATCCAAATTTTAGTATTTACATCCTTAATAGAAAAGTTACATTTTTTAAAAAAAATTTTAAGGTGCAGAATTTGTAAGTAATAGTAAATACCAATAGGTATGTTTCATATTTGTCTTACTCGTCTAACCAACAGGACTATTCTAGGTGACTAGAACTTTGGTAAAGGAAAACTTTAAATGAATTATTTCTGCCTAATTTCATAAATTATAAATGATGGATGATACAAAGCTACCAGTCCACAGACCTTTGAGTGGCACTGAGTTACACTACAATTGGAAACACGATAGGTTAGGATGACTGGAATTATGAATGTGAAATTTCACATTTTATTTAGTAATTATTTTTGATCAATCAAAATGATTTATGATGTTGTTATTTATTGTCTTTTAAACTTGGTTTGAAACTTTGTTTGCTATCATTTGTCTTTAATTCCCAGCACCATCACTGCCCCCCAACCAAAAAAAGAAAAAAAGCTCATTTAAATGTAATCTTTTATTTTCACAGATGTTTTTGCAGCAGTCAAACCCTGGGTTGAACTTTGGTTCTGTTCAGCTTACTTCTGGAAATTCATCTAACATCCAGCAACTCACACCTGTAAATATGCAAGGCCAGGTTGTTTCTACTAACCAAATTCAAAGTGGAATGAATACTGGACATATTGGTACAAGTCCGCACATGATACAACAACAGACTTTACAGAGTACATCTACTCAGGTAATGTCAAGTACAACGGGAAATGGAATGTTGAGTAATTGAAGTATGAACTAATGTTAAAACGAAAATAAAGTCCTATCTTACGCCGTTTTTTAAAATGTAATAGTAATTAGAATACAAAATACTGAGATGATCACTAAAATATTTTGTACAAAATTATGTTCATGTTAAATATTTTCTCTATTTTGACATTTTAAAAATTGTATGATCTGTTTTAAGGATCTAGCCTAATTATACAATTTTCTTATAACTTAAAGACTACTACCATATGATAAAATTTTGCAAAGGAGATTGATCAGGAAACATGTTCTCATATCTCACATGTACATAATAGACTGTTGAGATCAGTGGTGGTTTAACTAACATTCCATAAAATTCTGGTATCTAGTGTATTTTTGTGACTATAGATGAAAAATATAAAATGAAAAATGAATAAATATACCTAACCATCAGTCACTCATTCATGTATGTTTTCTGTCATCACTGTTAGGATCACACTCCTTTTAAAGTTATAGCTTACCTTCTAACAGGGAAGTCAAGACTAATTCATTGTTACTACCAGTCATTCCTTTGTAATTAGATCTCTTTCAGAGTAATATGTCCTGCCACACACTGTTAGGTTAGTTGTTAAAACAGTGACTAGTAGAAGCATACTTCCCAAATAACTTTGCTCAGTTAATCTTTCTGTAAAACCTTCTCTTTTCTAGCAGAATCAACAAAGTGTACTGAGTGGGCACAGTCAGCAAACGTCTCTTCCCAGTCAGACGCAGAGCACTCTTACAGCCCCACTGTATAATACTATGGTGATTTCTCAGCCTGCAGCTGGAAGCATGGTCCAGATTCCATCCAGTATGCCACAGAACAGTACCCAGAGTGCTGCAGTAACTACATTCACTCAGGACAGACAGATAAGGTAGTTGTCATACCTCATTTGTTATTTTCAGAGTTGTAAATTGATTAATTTAAAGCAGTGATTTGGGACTAAGGACATAGCTCAGTGGTAGAGTGCTTGCCTAATATGCACAAGGCCCTGGGTTCAATCCTAGCACTATAAAACACAAAACAAAAATATCTGATAAGTTGATTTTTTTAAAACATGATTTTAGTTTGTTGCTCATTGAAGCCATGGTTCTTAAATTTGAAATTAAAAAGATACATCCATTGTTTAAAGATTTTATAATAAAAGAGTACCAAATTTTGTTTGTTCTCTAAACATGAGTTACTAACCCAGGCATTGTGCTGCTCGCCTATAATCCCAGCGGCTCCAGAGGCTGAGGCAGGAGGATTGCAAGTTCAAAGCCAGCTTTAGCAACTTAGCAAGGCCTTAAGTAACTTAGTGAGACCCTGTACAAAAAAGTTCTGGGGATGTGGCTCAGTGGTTAAGTGCCCCTGGGTTCAATCCCCAATACCCCCCCCCCCAAAAAAAAAGAGTTACCACATATCGCAGAATCCAAATTCTGCAGCTCATTGTTATACAAGGGCTATGTGATACTAATCTTTAAGATATAGATGTTAGTGAGTTTTCATGTAGTAACAGTGGTTAGGGTAGCTTCTCAAAGTATTTAAGTGCTCAAAATATATTATTTCATTTTTTTTAAATGTATGTTCAGATCTTTTTTCCCAAGAAAAAGTGAATTTTTAATAATTTAGTCAAGGGCCTGTCACTGGTTAAGTCAGTGAGGAGGCTTTGGACCTGGGTGTCTGGTTTCAAAGTTCCACTGCATAAACATATATACTACAGGAAGTTTTTGTGTGCTGTTCTAGACAAACAATAGTCTATGACTTATTTTAGTGAGAAGTTCAAATAGCTGGCTTAGCATTTCTTTGAAAACTCTGTTTCTGTTTTTATACTGGAAAGCTATCTTTTTAAATAAAAACGATAGAATATTTGCAATTTTAAATGCTTTTATTTTTTATTTCAAATGTTCTTCTTTTATATACAGTTTTCTGTATTATTAAGCATAATTTTATTAAAATCATGTTAATAGTTTCCATAGGAAAGAAGCTGCAAGATTACTACTAGACAGTGAAAACAGAGAACTTATTACTTCTCTTTGAAGCTTATTTCCCTCCACTTAAAAAAAAGTTTCAACTTTTAGCTCTCACATCCTGAAGAGGAAGTCTTAAAAATGTGCTCCAATGAAATTCAGAGAACTGATTTTTGTTTAGGTTGCTGGGGATTCATCCCAGAGCCTTGCACATGCTAAGCATGTACTTTACTATGAGCTACACCTGTATGTAATCAGAGGACTGATTTTAAAGCCTGAGTGGAAAGACATTAAATTTGAATGCTGACATACATTTTAGAGGATGCAGTTTAGCAACTCTTTGTACATACATATCTGTTTCTTGAGGAGAGGAAAACATTTCAGCAGACATATGAAGCCTACCATATTTGTATATGGCATAGTCCTGTCCCTTGAGGAAAGACCAGAGTAGTAAAAGTAATAGAAAAGAAGATACCATCTCACTCCAATAAGAATGGCAGCCATTATGAAGTCAAACAACAATAAGTGCTGGCGAAGGTACACTCATACATTGCTGGTGGAACTGCAAATTGGTGCAGCCAATTTGGAAAGCAGTATGGAGATTCCTTGGAAAGCTGGGAATGGAACCACCTTTTGACCCAGCTATTCCCCTTCTCGGACTATACCCAAAAGACCTAAAAAGAGCATACTATGGGGACACAGCCACATCAATGTTTATAGCAGCACAATTCACAGTAGCTAGAATGTGGAACCAACCTAGATGCCCTTCAATAGATGAATGGATTAAAAATGTGGCATTTATACACAATGGAATATTACTCAGCACTAAAAAATAACAAGATCATGGCATTTGCAAGGAAATGGATGGCATTAGAGCAGATTATGCTAAGTGAAGTTAGCCATTTCTTAAAACCAAATGCCGAATGTCTTCTCTGATATAAGGGGGGTGACTCAAAATGGGATAGGGAGGAAGAGCATGAGAAGAAGACTACCACTAAATAGGGAAGAGAGGTGGGAGGGGAAAAGAGGAGAAGGGGAGTTGCATGGAAGATGGAAGGAGAACCTCATTGTTATACAGAATACATATATGATGTTGTGATGAGAAAAAGAAAAAAAAAAGTGTGTCACATTAGATTGGATAGAGAGAAAGGATGGGAGAGGAGGGGAGGAGTAGGGGGGATAGGAAGGGCAGCAGAATAGAATAGACAATATGATTGATGTATGTACATTCCATGTATATATTATATGTCAAAATACATTCTGCTGTCATCTGTCATGTATGACTAAAAAAAAATCTTTAAAAAGTAATAGAAAGGGAAACAAGTCATATTATTTGGTGTAATGAATACTTAGTAGGCTTTTGGAAGGGAAGAAGTGAGCAGTTTTATGAATTGAGGCAGGCAGATGAAGGGGGGGAGTGGTCAGGGAAAGCTTCACCACAGAGGAGATACTTGGCCTGTCTTAAAGAGCTTGGCCTTGAGTTTGCCTGTGGCAAGGAATTCAAGGAGGAATTCTAGGCAGAGGAAACAGTATACACAAAGCCACAGAGTGTGGTTGAGCATAAGTAGATTAAAGAATGTCTTGGGATGAGATAGATAAAGTATTATCTTTAAAAGTGACTCCTTGCAATTCAGGTATTAATTTTGTTTAAGATTACAGAGAAATTGACACTTAGCTCTTCTGTGATTAAACATACTTTGTTCATGTTGTTTCTTTGAGCTTTCTTACACAGAATTTTTTTAAATTCTGTTTTGTTTCTTTGTTGTTTTTTGTTTGTTGCATTCAAGTGTTTGGCCCTGATGTATATAAAATACAGTATTTTATTTACAAGATCTGGCATGGACACAAACTAAATTTATTTTAGGGGATAGGGTTTTAGCTCAGAGATATAATGTTTGCCTAGCATGCACAACACCCTAGGTTTGATTTCTGGCACCATAAAACAAATAAGTAAATAAATAAAAGTAAATTTATTTTGTCTGTGAATATATAAATAAAGTACATGTGTACTAAGCTTAATATTTGTACCTACTTTAAATAGTTTATAATTTGCTTATGTCATGCTGTATCTATAGTATGATTTTATCTGTTTCCTTGCTGTAGTTGTCAATGTTAGAAACAAACTTCTTCTCAGAAAGAAATGGAAAAAGTTTTGCTCCCCAGAGAGGCATTATTTTTTGTCTTTGTTAAGAAAATAGAAGAAGGAGCTGGGCATAGTGTCACACACCTATAATCCCAGCATCCTAGAACAGGTTGAGGCAAGAGGATCACAGGTTTGAGAATGGCCTGGGCCACTTAGCAAGAACCCATCTCAAAAAACAAAACAAGGAACTGGGTGTGGTAGTGCATGTCTATAAACCCAGTGACTTGGAAGGCTGAGGCAGGAGAATTGCAAGTTCAAGGACAGCTTCAGCAAGTTAGTGAGGCTCTAATAAGCAACTTGACAAAGCCGTGTCTCAAAATAAAAATTAAAAAGGGCTGGGGACACTGAGTGCAGTGGCCCATGCCTATAATCCCAGCAGCTCAGGAGGCTGAGGCCGGAAGATTGTGAGATCAAAGCTGCCCTCAACAACAGTGAGGTGCTAAGCAACTCAGTGAGAGTTTAAATTTAAAATTTAAAAAAGGGGGCTGGGCTAAGAATGTGGCTCAGTGGTTAAGTGCCTCTGGATTACAACTCGAGTGTAGCCCTCCTCCCTCCCCCCCAAAAAAGGTCTGGAGATATAGCTTAGTGGTAAAGTGTACCTGGGTTCAATCTTTATTACCAAAACAAAAAAATCTAACATAGTGGGCACCATAATATGATAAATAAGTACTTTATTCATTTGTTTTGATTTATGTTTTTTTAAATATTTATTTTTTTAGTTGTAGTTATTTTATTTATATGTGGTGCTGAGAATCGAACCCAGGGTCCCGCATGTGCCAGGCAAGTGCTCTGTCGCTGAGCCACAACCCCAGCCCTTGATTTATGTTTTTTAAGTTACCACCTTTAAATGTACATTTCTTACATAAATATAAGCTTTAAGTTTGGTTCTGAACTATGTGCCACTTTATCTGACTCCTAAATACCTAGCCACTTTATGAAAAGAAAAAGTTCATTTTTTTTCAGTTTAAAAATTTTTTAACTGTGGTAAAATATACATAAAAAAATTTACCATAGTAACCATTTTAAAGTATATGGTTGGGCCATTGAGTATATTCACACAGTTGTTGTCACTCTACCCTCAACCATCTGTCTCCAGAACTGTTTTCATTTTTCCAAACTGAGTCTTCATTCTTCATAACCATTAAACAACTTCCTAGCTTGCCCAACCCTGCCTCTTATCTATGGCAACCACCATTCTACTTTCTATCTATATGAATTTGACTACTTTGAGTATTTCATGTAAGTCAAAATACAGCATTTATCCTTTGGTTATTGGCTTATTTCACTTAGCCTAATGTTCTCAGGGTTTATCCATGTTGTAGCATGTGTCAGAATTTTCTTCCTTTCTAAGGTGAAATAATATCCCATTGTATTATATACTGTATTTTGTTTATTGATTTCACCTGCCAGTGGACACTTGAGTGGCTTCCACCTTTTGTTAGGTATGATTACTCACTGCTGCAATGAACATGGGTATAAGAGTATCTGAGTTCCTCCTTTTATTTCTTTTGGATTGTATGCCCAGGAGTAGAATTGCTTCATATGGTAATTCTATTTAATTTTTGTAGGAATTGCCATATGGTCTTTCATAGTAACTGTATCATTTTACAATACTACCAGCAGTACACAGAGGTTCCAGTTTCTCTACATCTTTGCCAACAGTGGTTATTTTTGTTGGATTTTTTTCTGTAATAGCTATCCTGATGGGTGTAAGGTAGCTGCTGCTTCTTGTTTTGATTTGCATTTCCTTAATGATATTGAACAACTTTTCATGTGTTTATTGGCCATTTATATATCTTTTTTGGAGAAATACCTATTCAAGTTAGACCTGTGTCCATTTTTTAAATGGGTTGATTGTTGTTTAGTTATCATTCTTCATATGTTCTGGTTATTATAATAACCAGATAAATCAGATACACGATTTGCAAGCATTTCTTCCCATTATTGAGTTGCCTCATGCTGTCAGTTTTGCCCTTGGATGCATACAATTTTTAATTTTATGTAGTCCAGTTTATCTGTGTGTGTGTGAGAGAGAGAGAAAGAGAGAGAGACAGAGAGATACTGAAGGTTGAACTGAAACCTTGTACTTGCTAGGCAATCACTCTACTACTGAACTACATCTCTAGCCCTTTTTATTTTGAGTCAGGGTCTCACTAAATTGCCTAGGCTGGCCTTGAATTTGAGATCCTCCTGCCTCAGCCTGCCAAACAGCTGGTTTTAGAGGTGTGTACCATCATGCCTGGGCAGTCTATTTATCGTTTTTGTCACCTGTGTTTTTGGTGTTATCCAAGGAATCATTGCCAATTACAATGTTGCAAAACTTTTCCCATTTGCTTCTAAGAGTTTTATAGTTTTAACTTTTATGTTTGGGTGTTTGCTTCCTTTTGAATTGATTTTTGCATATGACGTAAATCAAAAGAACTAATTAATCAAGAACTAATTCACTTCATTCTTTTGAATATGGATATTTTAGAAAGTTATTTTTTTATTATATTTGTTTTTGTTGTCATATGTTGATTTTGCCACATACATTTATGTCTTGCTGATATCCCAAAAGAGAATTTTTAAAAACAAAAGCAAAATAGGAGCATATAGCTTTTATAAAAATAAATTGGCAGTATTATTATCTTAGATAAGGGTTCATCTCATTGCCTTTTTGTGATGTATACTTTGTACTTTTGACTTTACTTCTTTCTTTCCTCTACAGATTTTCTCAAGGTCAGCAACTTGTGACCAAATTAGTGACTGCTCCTGTAGCTTGTGGGGCAGTCATGGTACCTAGTACTATGCTCATGGGTCAGGTGGTGACTGCCTATCCTACTTTTGCTGCACAACAGCAGCAGGCACAGACACTGTCAGTAACGCAGCAGCAACAGCAGCAGCAGCAGCAGCAGCAACAGCAACAGCAACAGCAACAGCAACAGCAGAGTTCCCAGGAACAGCAGCTTCCTCCAGTTCAGCAACCATCTCAGGCTCAACTGACTCAAACACCACAGCAGTTTTTACAGGTAACTCTTCCTACAAGAAGCCACCTTAAACCTATTTATAATAGAATTAGGTGCTAAATGAAAGGTTTGTAAATTATCTCAAAAACTCATAAAAGCTATGTACAATTTAAATCTCTATGAAGATAGAAAGCTTGTCCTGGGTAGCCATTGTTTTCCTTCTCTTCATTGAAAGACTTTTAGCCCTGCCATTGGTATACCAAGTGATCTGAGCTGCTGGGTAGAATAAGTAATTTTGGGCCTATATGAGGGTACTTTTGTAGAGCCTATTTTCCTCTCTGGAACTACAGTTTCTGGAAGTCAAGCAAAGACTCCTTTCTCTGTCTATTTCCTTTCTCAATACCCAACAAATTCTGTCCTGCATAAGCAGGGGTATAAAAGGGATTTCTGTATCAGCCTACATATTATCTTAAATTATTTTGTTGGAATAAAGTTTATTGGAATTTTTCTGTTATAAATAATGTCAGAGGAGAAATAGTGGCGGTACACAGTATGTGTTATAGTACAACTTGGATTCTAAAATCAGACTGTCCCGAGATTGTGTCACTGCTATACCACGTATTGTTTGACCTTTGGCAAGTTAAACTGACCAAGCCTCACTTATTGCCTGGATGTGATAATAGTTCACAGATATTTAAAAAGTATAAATAGCTGATTGTAGTATAATGCACCTAGCTAGCTGTCATGTATAACCACTATGTTGACAAATGTAATAAACACTCAGATTAACCAAAGAACAGATATGTGGGTAAATTATATAGGATCTCCTTATCCAAAAGTTACAGCATAAGTTACCTATGGCAGGGTTGTCAGCAAAGAAATAAACAGTCTCTGGATCTCAGTACCCTCACTTGGAAGTCCAGCTCTTTCCCTTCCCTTTTACCTTGAGCACGTTTGTATGTAGATTAGCCTTGATTTGTACTGGAGACCACCTCATCTGGAACAGGCACTTGTCATCAATTTCACAGTTATACAACTAGAATATTAAAAAGTATACTATATATTAAAAAGTAAATACAGCCTTAGTTTATCACTGTTTGTATCCTAGTCCAGATATAATCCTTGTTTTGATGATGTGGAAGACAAAAACAGATTAGTTGCCAAAATACATCTGGTAGTCATACAGTCTCTTAAACCTTAAGTCTGTACTGTAGCCATTAATAAATGGCTTTGCTATTAATATAAAGTAATAAGAATTTAAAATAAGTCCTAAACTATTATCTAAGGGAAATATATCCAATGATAATTAAGCAGAAACTTATATAAAAAAGAGGATTTGCCTTAAGATCTCAGTCTATCAAGGAAGAAAGACCTCTAAAAGAATTAACCTTCTCTTTCTTGATTCTCTCAAAAAAAGCACCTAAAGATATCCATAAAAAAAGATGAGTGATGCCCTTCATAAATATACTTACTTGTGTATAATAAATGTACAGTTTGCTTTTTAAAATTGTTTCTCTGTCCCAAAATGTACTTAAGTTGTAATCCTGTAAGGCTCCTACATATCCTGAATTCATCTCACACAGAGTTTTGCTAATAACAGAGAGAAAAAAAACTCTAAAAGTACTTACCAAAAGCTTAATGGTCTTTCAGGTTTAAGGGAGAGAGAGAGAAAGAGAGAGAGAGAGAGAGAGAGAGAGAGAGAGAGAGAGAGAGAGAGAGAGACTGACTCTCTCCTTCATACACACTCACAAACATCACCCACAACAACTCCTTTTTAAAATTAAGAATCTTGCAACAAATGTATTGTCTTTGGGAAGGACTTTAAAATCTTACCTTTCTTTTAGCTAATTTCATATATATCCTGGAGTTACATTTATAAATAATATACCAGAAGTAAAAACTTGGTAAAAGAAATTGAGGGGCATAGAATTGAGACTTGCATCAGGTCAGGTAACTTGTAAATGGCAGAGCAAAACCCAAATGCGGGGCTTCTAACTACAGATCCTGGGCCTTTTTTGGTTTGGGTTGGTTTTGTTGTAACACCTAAGAATGTGTGGTTTCTCTCAAGACATTAGTTGCTTTCTATACCATGAAATCTCCAGTGCAGATTCCCTCGAAAAGTGAAATTTTTGTTATATTTTCAGAAAGGAAAAGCTTCTTAAGCATGCAAAAATATGATTTTAATCTTAGAGAGCAAAAATGTCCCTTGGATAGTGCACAACTTTAGCAAATCTTATGTGCACAGTATAATGGAGAGGGTAAAATAATGTTGGGTAATACATTGATTTTTCTTTTTTAGACTTCTAGGTTGCTCCATGGGAATCCTTCAACTCAGCTCATCCTCTCTGCTGCATTTCCACTACAACAGAGCACCTTCTCTCAGTCACATCACCAGCAACACCAGTCTCAGCAACAGCAGCAACTTAGTCGGCACAGGACTGACAGTTTGACTGATCCTTCTAAGGTTCAATCACAGTAGCACAAGTACTTCCTCCAGCGCCAAAGGAGGAAGGTGGTGGTCCATAAATGTTGCTCAGATGACCTGAGGTTAGGAGGAAAAGTTCCAGAAGTTTCATGAGATACAGTATTGAGTGCTCTAGTTCCTGGAATTAGTTGGTAGGGAAAATGTGCCTAGTGCTATAGATGTACGTTAAATACCAGCCAGCAGAAGATGATCATAGGGACATAGCCAATTCTGACAGTGTTTCAGTTGCCCAGATATTTTTTGATGGAAAAAGAGTATATTGCCAAATGTTAAGAAGCTCAGCTATGAAATGACCTCCAGTGAATCAGAAAGGCACTAACAATGTTAGTCACTTCTAGTGGTCTGTGCCTGTTATCAAGTGTTACAGAGGACACACCACTGCCATGTCAGGGGTTTGCTTACAATGATGCCATGAAGATAATCTAGTAGTCAATAGCCCCCACCTTAAGCCCCTCTCCCTTTTCAGATAATGATGGAACAGTAATTTCAGAATGTTGTGTGGATTTAAATTTTTTGTGTACAGATACTGTAAAAATATGTATATGTCTGGATGAAGGAGAGAAAGCAAAACATTGTGTAAGCTGCATGAAAGCATTCTCTCTTCCATATGAGTACATTTCATTAGATTCCGACACCATGTACAAACTGATACATCAGTCTCTGTTTTTCCTTTTGTTTACAACATAATAGTGTTCTATTCACTTTTCCAGGGCACAAGTCTTTTTGTTCATACTTTGGCTGTGATGTCACAGTTTGTTCAGTGAGGTATGATGTGCTGCTGGGAATGGATTTTTTTTTTCAGGTTAAATTATTGATACAACAAGACTTTCAAGTTATTCAGAAATATCCCTCATTTCATTATTTTTGTTTGAAAATAGGATTTGCACTGCTTTATTTTAGATGGTTGGGAGTTTGATCACATATTTTGATATATTTCATTGTTGCAAATATTTATGTAAATGGTTTTCAACAAGCCTGAAAGTAATTTCAAGAATGTTTCAGTTATAGGAATAAAATTTGCACACAAACATAGGCACTTTTTAACATTCCCAATGGTGGGATTTTTAACTTTTAGGATTTGTTGGAATCTTTTTATTATCCTTCACAATTTCAATGCTTCTTTTAGTCAGAAATGATTCAGGGTTATTTGAGGGGGGGGAAACCCATAGTGCCTTGATTTTAATTCAGGTGATAACTCACCATCTTGAACTTGTCTGGTTTCAGTAGCAGTTTTTGAAACCTTAGTACATTTTTAACAGCATGTGGGTGTCAGTGTCATTATTCTCCTAAGTTCCTATGAAGACTGCTGTGAGTCTCTTGGACTGGGGTACAAATAATTTAGAAATAAAAAAGATGACAACCTAACACTACACACTTTAAAGGTTCCCAAATTTGTTTCCTAAATTAAATAGTCGCTGGGCGTGGTGGTGTATGTCTGTAATCCCAGCGGCTAGGGAGGCTGAGACAGGAGAATTGCGAGTTCAAAGCCGGCCTCAGTAATGGCAAGGCACTAAGTAATTGAGTGAGACCCTGTCTCTAAATAAAATATGTAATAAGGCTAGAGATGTGGCTCAGTGGTTGAGCACCCCTGAGTTAAAACCCAGGTACCCCTCCTCCAAAAAAAAAGACCCCCCAAAAAAACCCAACAAAACAAAAAACCCTAAACAGTCATTTAAGAATTACCAGTAAATATTGGCTCAATATAATATTGATATTTTTACCCTAAAAGGGCAAGTATTGGCTTTGCCTTCACTACATTGGGATATTGTAACTCACATGCTTTGTAAACATGAACTAAGATTTCATCTGGCAATATCATGTTCTAAAGGTAATAAATTTCAACACAAGTTACATATATTAAAAATAGTAATTTTTTAGATTTTATGGTACTAATACTGAAATTTACAACTATAGAACAAAAGATTAGTGGAAATTTCTTATTATAATATAAAAAATTATTACTAAAAATGGGGAGGACAAATGTAATAAATCAAAATTGACCTTAAAAGAAAATGTAACAGAACTGAAGTTGTTAAACAGAAATGGTTTTGTGCAATGAAAATCACCTACTGCAGAAGTACTAGATAGAAGGCTCAGGGGAATGCCAAGTCAGTTCTCTGTCCTTAGCTTTGCTATTATCCTTGAGGGACATATTGTTTTTCTGTAACAAAAACAAAACCATAACTGTCTATAATTAAATTAGAAAATTAATACTGTAAAAGAAAACAACCAAAGAAAATGGTACTTACCCTTCTACAAAAGAAGTGTGACTAGATACCAGTTAGTAATTAACATATCATGGAGTTCTAGCTAAATGATCATCCAGAAGAGATTCCTGACATTCCCATGAATGTCAAGAATGATTGTCAGAATGTGTGTACCTGAGCATACGTGCACATGGCAAAATCAGTGTTGTAAAATATGGCAATAGCATTGCTTTTCTCCCCTTCCAAATTGCCTTTCTTGACCTTATGCCATTCCGTATAAATCTTGAGTTGTGCCTCATTTATTTATTGGCAATACCTAGTGATAAGGACTTAGCTAACAAAAGATATGAACTATTATGTTAAGGCTTGCCCTCTAAGTACCATACTTAAAAGAAAGATTATGAACTGTGAATACCATGTACTCAACAGAAGCAAAACAGGCCACAAAGTAAATCTGCAGATTGTTTGTTTAACTCACATTCTTCAACTCTTAACTTCTTTAAATATTTTCCATCTTAACTGAATATTTGGGGAAGAAAAAAAAATTTATGTCACAATTCCTATTGTTCTTCATGATTCATCTTTTTCCTGCTTGAAATTTACAGTTGCTAAATTTAAAGAAGCAGCCATGCTTTTCCTTTGCTGTCAGTATGGAGTATTATGTTGGAAAAACTGGTCAGCACAAGCTGCCCCTTCTTTACTTTGGTTTCCTTGTGCTTCTCCTAAATTTGAGTTGCAAGGCTAGTCCCTGTCCCCTTCCTTCCCTGTGAGACTTAAGCATTGAGAGGGAGGGAGATTCAGCAGTTGTCAGTTCTGTATTCCATTTTCATAGCCAAAGTTGTTAATTCAAATCCCTAAATCATGAAAAGATACCAATGGAACCCTTTTCAGCTTCCCTCTGCTTTACTCTCACAGGGATTCAGTTTCTCTTAAAAACATTTTATTCTGGGTGGCACTTTTTAGATAAGAAACTGTGGAGATAAAGGAAAGATGCCAGCCCCCCTGCAGTTATCTTTCTGTGGACTGTTGGGGCACAGTGTGAGCCAGTATTGCCTCGCAAATACAAATGAGAACCGCAGGGATTAATAAAGTTGCTGCTGAGAGTGATGTCACACCAGAACCTAGACACTTGAAAAGTACTTGTTTTTGTTTTGAGTAAAATATGGGCAGAAAAGTAAATGTGGTGAATGGGGTGGAAGGGGCGGTGTAGTGTGAAAGTAAATACTACAGTTCAGTTTTCCGAACTACATCCTAAATTCAGGGGGTAATTTTAGAGTGATGTGCTCTGCTTTGTCACTTAGATGTGGCTTAGGAATGTACTAGTAATAAAAGGATGCCAGTGATCTTGACTAGTTTGTTACAGAATATTTAGTGCAGAATAGTGTGTGTGTTTGAATTCTTCAGATGTGCTGTAGTTGTTGGTTGTTGCCTTAAAGCAGTCTCTTGAAGTTAGGAGCACTGAAGCAGTCCAGCTCTGTAAAGGGCATTGTGTTGAAGGGAGCTATGAACCCTTATTCAAGAAGCCTTAGAAAAGGACCCTGAAAATAGCCTAAAAAGGTAGAAATTCTTTTCAACTGGACATTATTCTTTATGTTTGAAAATGTTTCCACTACATTGAGGCAAACTTTTAAGTGGACTACAGATAGCATTTAACTTTAGTTTTTTCTTCCTTTTTTATTTCTTTGGTGATTGAAGATTTGTTTGAACATTTGTGTAAAGCTCATTCAAGTCTACAACCTTTCCTATATCTGTGGCCCTGTTCTTAGTCCCACAGGAGTCCACATTGGAAAGTATAAACACTGGATATTGATATTGCTGAGTGCATCTAGCCAGGAGAAAGCTGATTGGAACTTTTCAGTGGTGGAGAAAACACAGCACAAAGGCACTTGCCATTTTAATAGTGATTTGGAGAGAGAGAGCTTTTTAAGTTTGTCTGAATTGGATGAGCATTCTTTTAAAAGGAGCTTCTGAAGTCATTGCAAAGGAAAAGAGTTGACTATTTTTATAGCATATTTAATATATTTGTATATAACTATGAGTATAGTAGAAACCCTCCACATGCTTCCCACTTTTCTAATTTCCTCCCCTTTTTGCCATAGCCCTAGTATAGCCTCGTCCGCATGGGTAATGTGCCTATTGTCAGCCTACCAAAAGATAGTGCTGCTGCTTTTTGAGACAGGTGAGAAGACCAGACTCTCATGCCTGGGGATCCTTTTAGGAGGAATAGCACACACTTAACATACTGCAGTCTAAAAGCATCATTTTGAAATGTAACAAGCACTTTATTGCAATTATTCATTTTGATAAAGTTTATCTTAGGCATTAACCATTTCTAAAGGATCCCCAAATCATCACTTAGGTGAAATAATAAAATGACACATTTCTGAGAAATGTTTAGATCCAGTGAACCGTAGTAGGTTTATGGGAGTGATCTCAAGATAGCCAAATGAACTCTTGACTTTTGTTTTGAATGTGGTGGAATTAAGAGACTGTAGATGCCTAGTTCCATTTAAACACTATTGTAAACCTATCTTGCCTATTGTGTGGACACCAAAAGAGACCAATGAGCCTGTTTATTTTCAGAGGTCTAGGAAAATTGCATCCATGTGAGTAGATGTACTGAACTAATCTAAAAGTGATTGGTAGTGATATTTTAGAATACAGTAATTTCAAGAATTATTCTGAGTGTTTTAAATGTGCCCTGAAATGTTGGCATGTCATTTCAGCGTTTCCATTTGAATTCTCTTGTAATATTTTTGCACAAAAAGAACTGAGAAAAAGACTACTTTGGTTGAAGAAAAAGAAAAGTATAATTTGGTCTTATTTTAATGTCTCCTGTGGAAGCACTGGAGATAAATTTTGTTGGTATAGTTATTAATTCAGGATATTTAAAACAGTGTTGAACAGCTCACCAGAAATTAAGCAAACTTGGATATTTAAAAATTAAAATACTTTCTTTCCATGTGACTGTTTTGCATAGTTTTTTTTCCCCCCACACTGTCATAACACTACATTCCTTGTTTTTCTTAAATAATACTTTGCAGGTTTTGATATTTTGTACAATGCCTGGGTTATTCCTAGGGAATGATCTTTAGCATAATAGGATATAGTTTCTAACGAGACTATTAAGTAAAATTCCATCTCCACCACCAGCAAACACTGAGGTGCTGCATTAAATGACAATCAAAATAGTAAGTATTTAGAAAGTGGTTGAAAGAAGCAATTGCTTTGAAAGCAGTTCTCTGGGTTTCTTGAGTAAAAAATCAGCTAAATATATTTATTTATATTTTTAGGTATCTTTGCATTCTGTTTTCTCATCCATGATTTAAGTGTCATGTATCTAATTTGTGGTTGGTTGTTTTGCATCATCTTGTACTTGGAGAACTGGCTCTTATTTGGGGCTGTTGCTAGCTCTCTTGATGACTCCATGAACAATCCAAATCTGTTTCACTGCAGGATGGCAGTGGAGGGCCCAAATTCAGATGCCTCTACACTTCCCTCCTGCTCTCAAATAATTGAAGAAAAAAAATTAAAAGGTAACTCCTTTAAACTCTGCTTTACATAACTCGGATCTTTTTCTAGTTTCACTTGCTGCCTTCTCTATTTTACAGGCACTTTTTGTATGATTACGTCCCCAAATACAGCCAAAGGCCAGTATGACAGAACCAATGGCATGCATTGCCTCTATTTTGTCCATTTCAAGTCATGTTAGTAAAACAGCATCTTCTAATGGCTGTCATTATCATATCCACATTAAAGTCCTTAAATATAAATGGAATAATGTATACACACTGAAAACTTGTACTACAAAAGTTTGCTGTCTTTATATAGTGTAGTGTTGCTTGATGTTTTAAAAACAAACCAAACCTCCATACACAGCATTGTCCAATAAAGCAGTGTTTGAACATTCTGAAGCCTAGCTATTTGAGGATTCTTCTTGCTTACATGTATTGGTACATAATCCTCCACATTAGAGCTCCCAGAGTAACTTTGGAGTCCCATAGGCTAGGAATAGCACACACAGGGATCCCTTAGAGAATGTTAATTAAAACATGTCAACCACATGTTGGTTTAAATCAAAGATATGCTGTTTTCAAATGCATGCTTTTAAATCTCTGAGCAAACAAACTGTGACATCGCTTTAAGAAATAACATTCAAATGTGTGTATGTGTGTGTGTGTGTGGTGAGAGAGAGAGAGAGTGAGTGAGTGAGTTGGCTTGTACTGGTGCAGATTCACTGCTGGCAATGGTTGTGCCAGTACTAAGAAGCTAAAATGTGGGGAAAGCCGTTATCTTCACATTGATGTGTACCTAGACAATCATCTTCAAGCAAAAAAGTTGTCCAGGAAAAATTAAAAAAAAAAAAAAAAATGTCAGCCAGAATAGAACGGCTGTAATTTAAACCATTCTAGAATTATTTTGAAATCTATTTTACTATGGTTTAAGTTAGGGAAGGGCCTCAGTATGGCACTTTCATATTCACTCTGTGTGAAAATCAAAACCCAAAGATGAGTTAAATCAGTGCTGTACTGAAACCAGTTAGTGCAAAAAAAAAAAGTTTTATCTTTGTAAATTTTTAATTGTTTAACATCAAGTTGGTAGTTGTAAAAACACACACCAAATTCTTTTCTAATGTTCTGTGTGGTTCTTAGTGTGCTATTCTTTATTCTTGACATTGCTGTCTGTACTGCTTGGTTCTTGGTTTTAAAATAAAAATGTAGACGTAGCCTGTCATTCTTATTTCCAAAAGGGTAGAGCTGTTATTAAATGGCTACTGAATACCTTTTCTTCCCCTAAAGCAAACATTTAAATGAAATCCAAATTAATTTTCAAAAATGAGACTTGGCATTTTTCAGGTATTGTCTCCTGCCAAAGTCCTAAATTGCATAGAAGCATGAGGGATAATGAATGGTTTCAATGGTGCTATATTAGAGTCTTTGATTTCTATGAGCTATGTTTGGAAATATTGTATAAAATATGTGGATCATTTTGTTACCAACTTAATATTGCCATCTTAATTTTATGTTACAATTGGCTACACTCACTTTTCAAAGCTGTCCATTGAAAAGAAAGTCAAAATGTGTGACTAGCCTACATCCACTCAGACTTCTTGCTCTGTGATCATTTTTCCAAGTTATGATGTGCATAGCTTTTCAAATCTACATGTACTCTTATAATGTTCTTTCCCATAGATTCTTGTATATTCAGAACCTAAAATTATAGCAAGAGAACCAAGCAGTAGTATTGTGGATTTTTTTTTTTTTGTAAATGTAAAAATAATTAGATCCAGACTTTGTTTCCTTCTTCAATTTTAAAAATAAAAAATACCTCAGTGCTATGTTTTTCAGTATCACCTGCATTTCTCCAAAAGTAACATCTGCTTTATGTGGCACATAACTTGTAAGAATCACATTTTGGAGTTTAAAAGACTATTAAATATTTTAAAATCACCATCAATGACATTTTCCTTTCTTTTCTTCAACAGAAGCTAACTGTTTTAGCATTTTTTACCTTGTAGCTTAGATCTGAATTACCAGAATCTCTAAGTAGTTAATCTGTCCTGTTACAATAAACAAAACAACAAAAGCCTATGCTGTTATTCACATAGCAAGCTAGTTACTGGGGCCAGGCTACCTAATCTTCATCAGTCTGTGTGGTACCAGGCCACCACCTAATCTTCATCAGTCTGTGATGGTACCAGCTACTTTCTACCAGAAAATCTCCTTTCTGTTCTTAGAAAATAAATAGTAGTAATAGTTCCTCACTGTCTTTGTTTATAAGTTAAGGCAGTTAATTAGGAGTCTCTGTTTCTTTGATGTTTTGTCTTAATTCATGGATATTGTTTTTTTCTATCCTATAATATACATTTTTTATGGAGTTAGAGAACTCCTTAGAAGTTTCCAAAAATGATGTTTTTCTTTGATAGTATTATGCTGCTGCGTAACAGCTGAAAGCTACTTTGTAGCTGAGGACCACTTGTAGGTTTCTTTAGAGGTCAGCTGCCCTTTCCACAGCTACTGAGGTTAGCTGGGTCCTTTCACAGTCTTGTCAAGTTACAGATTACATTGTGGACCTCACACAGGCTGGGAGAACAGCTGTTGTACTGACTGAGTGGAGTGGTAAAGTTCGAGTAGACTTTAAATGACTGATTACTAAAGCTGCTATGATAAAATGAGGCGTCCTTAGCATAAGGAATAATTGCAGGCTCTGACATTAAACTGCCTGGTTTGCCTCCCTGCTCTACAATGTCACCTTGGGTAAGTTGCCCTTTTTAAAAAACCTTGTATTGATGCCTACTACCTAATAGAATCGTGAAGGCCAAGTGAGACAGTGCTTCAGAATAATATCTAGCTCCTGTTTAGCTACACATCAGTGTTTGTTTTTACATCTACTTTAGAAATGGCCTAGATAATACCATACTACTTTGGTAAGTTAGAAAAGTTAATGACTTGTATAACACACAAGGAAAAACAAGCACTGGTCATACCACTTTTATTTACATTGTATCTATGTTACATTGTTTATTCAATATAGAAAAAATATGAATACATTCATAGTATTCTCTTTTAATTTGGTAATTCCACATTGTCAAATATTGACTATTTTCATATTGGGTGTCCTACCCAATTAAAAAAAAGAATGGACTTAGCAAACAATTCTAATTGCATCATGTTATTGATATAGTAATTATTACCTTATTTGTTGTCTCTTTTTAAAAACAATCTAATTTTGAAAACATGATTAAACTACTGCTTAGTGGCTTAGGGAAATATTTTTTAAAAAGAAATTCATTCATTCTTTCCACAAGGAAATTTTTAAGGTAAACATCTGAAATGCCTCAGTGACCAAGGAGAATATATTCCTTATAAAGGGGTCATGTTGAAAGAAAATCAAGTGGTAGACCCCACTGCACAATGGTTCTACACATACCAAACAGAAATGGGGACTATATTGACAATTATGTTGCAAAAAGCCCACACTGAGAAGTCGGGTTTCTTTTAAAAATCCATTTTACAAATAAAATCAGTGATTATCTTTTTTGGACATAATACTTTCATTAAATTGGTCAAACTCAAAAATCAATGCTACAAAATACAGTATTTTCCATTGCTTTTAGTTGTAATGTACACTATGTACAGAATGACAGTAGTTACCTATCTTATACTAAATACAGATGAACAAATAGTGTGTTAAAAACCAGAATCAGGACTTATAAATAGTGCAGAAAATGCAAACGCCAAAAACACGACACCTCCTATGATCGTCACTGGAAGAGAAGAAAAAAAATTAAATGAAGCAAAATTTCCCCTGTACCCTGATATTCTACAAACAAATTTTTGAGGGAGACAATGAATTTACCTGTTTATTTCTAGTCTAGTAAACTAACCTTGAATACAAATTATCACTCCATTTATACAGCAAAGAACAACACTTGACACTATCTTGGGAAATCATAGCATTAAATTGAGATAGTGCTGATAAACAACATTACAACTATACATCCCAAAACCCAATCGTAAAGAAGAATGTTCAACAACCTCTGACTAAAAAAGGGTAGCTATTTCATCGGTAGGCCTCCAGATTATTTATAGCTGCATAGGAAATGTTCAACAGAATCAGTACACCTGGTTCATACCTGATTCTCAGTCTTAATATGTTTTTAAGATCCAAAATTTCCCATATTCCCATATGATAATTACTATGATATCACTGGTGTTTTTAGATGCACTTTTTATTTAACTGACTTCTACCCATGGGGAAAGCAGTTGGGTGATACCTAGGACTTCAAAGAAGATAATTACAAAGACCAGGTGTATTTTAGAAGACAGAACTTAAATACAGAACTAACACACACACCCTATTTCTAACCTCTCAGAAGGAGAAAAAAGAAAAACAATTGACTTACCAGTTCTGACAGAGATTTTTTGTGCTATCATTCTTCCTCCGATTACTGCCAATCCAGTGCATAAGCAGTGTCCCACTGTTCCACCCACTGCTACACCATAGGGATCCTGGAAAGGAAGCATAACCAGCATTAATTTACTACTTTGAAACGAAAGTTGAAACTGCTACTAAGTGCTCTTGTTAAGAAGCACTGAAGATGGAGGCCAGTCACAAAAAATATAAACAGTATAAAAATCCAGGTGTACTGAACTTCATGAAAGGTATATAACAGCTTCTTGAAGGCATATGTACCAGTTGACCTAAACTAGAAAAAACTGAGTAAACCTTTATGGTATAGTATGGCTGTGCTTCCCGAGAAAGAAACCTCACTCTTTAGTCTTCATGCTGTTAGCTCAGTACCCGGAATACTTTTCATCCAGTCAAATTAGAATCAGCGAAGGTTTTCCAGAAAACAGCTCTGAGGGGCAGCAGGTGTTGTTAGCAAGAGGATTTGATTTTTGTTTTGTAGGGGAAGGAAATGCTAAGGAGAAAGCGGTAAAAGAAAACCAACTTCAGAGCTCTTCAGCCTTTCTACAGATTACCAACAAGACACCAGAGGATTCCACAAGGGAGCCAGGTCATGAAGGATACTGTAAACTTGGGGTTCAACCTTTGTCTTTAGACACTGGCTGATTTCTACATAGGGCATGATATAACAGGCTTATGCTTAAAGATCTAAATGGACAAAATGTACTGGAGGGGAACGAGACTGAAGATAAGGTGAGAAGATACGGTAAGAAGCAACACTGGCCTGGTTGAGGTGGGAAGCTATAGGCATAGAAAAGGCAGATGACTTTAAGAGAAATTGTGTGGCATAATTAATGCCTCAATGATAAACAAATGATAAGTGCTCTGAAAATAAGGCATGACACCCAAGTTTCTCTTTAATTATCTGGGTGAGTTAAAGTAACTCCATTGAGATTAAAAAGAGAGGAGGAGCAGAGAAAGGCTTAAAGTTGCTGACAGGAGTGAGTGGTGTAAGAATCAGATGAATGTGATGGTGGAGAAGCTAAGGGACTGAACATAATAACCCTGGGAGAGGATGCTAAAGAAGGATGTTGATAAACAATCCTCAAAGGATGACAGAGTAAGAGGAATCAAAGGAGACTGAAAGGTGGCCAGGCAGTTAGCCTCCCAAGAGACCACAGCAGGTCTTGTCAGTGGCTGCAGTGAGCTCTTCAAAGCCCCCAGTCAGCACTCCTGGTGAGGTTAGATCTGTGGTTTCAAGGGCAGCCAAGTACAATGACATTTATTCCTATCACACCAAGCTCTTTGAGACTGTGGGAAGAGGAAGAAAGTGCTATTTGGCAGAGAACTAGACTTGAAGAAAGGGGGCCTCCCACCCCCAACAAAGATGAGAAAAGACTCATGCTAAAAATGCCCCCCAAATTGCGCTGGGACAAAGGTAAAGATTTAAGATGGGGCAGGGGAGATATTTGAGAAGCTAAGAGCCAGGACATAGGAGGAAGCAACTGCAGTTGTGAGGGGTAGGAAATGAAGAAAAGCAGGCTATTGCTCTCTGAAGCAGGAGGGGGCCCAGTGCCTTGGCGTGGGCAGTGTATGTGCACAGATAGGAAGTGGAAATGGTATGAAGCATGAATGGAAAATTAGGACTACACTTCCCAAATTCTATTTGTGTATTATAACCTCTATAACTGCTTCCCCAGAAGATAGCATCATTCTATTTGAGAATGATACCTGAAAAAAAATCACTAGATTAAATAAAACCCATTTTTCAGATTGTTAATTTATAGACTGAATCCTTAAAAAAGAAAGAAAAAAAAAAGCCAAGGAAACATCACTTGACAAGTATGACCCAAAGTTCTCTACTCCCAACCCCCTCGTACCCATTAACATTTCAAAGATACTAGGGTTCTGTGATATGCAATTTAGGAACATCAATGTAGGAAGTAGAGATGCAGAGTAAAATGGTTTCAACCAACTGTGTGGTTCATACCAAAAAAAAGAATATTAAGGGAACAAAATAGACACAACACATTTGCCCTTTAACAGCTCACTAAACACCACTGCAGTGCTGGGTATGGAAGGGTGGCTGATGGAGTGCTGTGTTGGGGACTGTGCTGCCTACATGCAGCATCAACCCATGAAGTAGGTGATCCCCCTTTTCAAGTGAGGAAGTGCAGGGAAGTACAGCGATATGATCACACAATGAGACATGCCATGCTCTAAGAAGCATGGACCAAGTGTCCGGCATAGAGAGGGAGTCCAGTCTTGCCCGGTTACTGCTGCACAGAAGAGTGTATAGAAGAAACGCAGGGATTCTGCCATCAGAGCTCACCCTGCAGAACCTCCCACGTCCACCACATACATGGTCACTTACTTTCAAGTCCCAATTCTGGCAATCTGAAAGTCAACAAAAGACTAGAAATCAAGAAGAATACAGATACAGCCAATAAAGTGACATTTTAAAACAAAGTTTGTCTTACAGGAATTGAAAAATAGAGATCCTTTCTTCTCTTTCCCCCTCTTCCCAGAATATAGCATTTGAGACTTCTCTGACAAAATAGCCTTTCCCTAGCTATCTTAGTCCTGGCCCTCAAAATGCTTTATATTTTAAACTGCAGCCTATGTTAATAAACTTTTTCTTTTATGAAGACATTTCCAAGGATTTAAAAACTATTTTAATCTAAAATTGTACAATTGGATATAAATATAGATAAGTATACTAGTTAAAATCAAGAAGAGCCTGAAAATTGCAACTTCCATTCCATAACCCTCTCCTCAGTAAATCTTGATAAATCTATGTGAACATTAAAATATTCTGTCTATTCCCCTCTCAAAAGGAAGAAAGGATAAGAAAGAAACTAAACCAACAAGTATCTTTAAAATAAGAGGCATTCAACAATTATGAACAAAACAGAGAAGAAAGGGCTACAAAGGCAGATGGCCTCGGTCTGGTCCCCGCCCTGTCGTCACCCAAGTCACCCAATTTCTCTGGGCCTCAGGTTATTTATCTTTATTGAGTAAAGGCTGGAAAGAGATGAACTGAGGTCTCTTGTATCTCACCATCCTAGCACTCAATAATCTAGAGCTAAGACATAACAAAAATTTTCTATACAGAAACAATTCACCCATTATAGTAGTGCCCAAAGATAAGCACTGTCAACATTCTGATTTCCTTAAGTGCTTTTTGTTCTTTGAATACCTTTTAAAATTTCTGTCATTAAAATGATGTTGAAAAGTGCATAATCCAAGAGCTACATAACAATTTGTGGATAACTGAATCAATTCTTTATTAGAAAGTTCAGTCTGTTTCTAGTTCACTCAGTTATAATAAAAACATAAGTAACCTGTGCAACACTCAATTATTTCTTCAGTATAAGGAATAGAGAAACCAAAATTTACACACTTTAAAAGGCTATAAACATTTACTGCCAAACTGGACTTCAAAAATATTAGGACAATTTATATTTTCAACAAGCATATACAGGCAGGTTCTGAAAAAAGCAAGCAAGCCAAGCCAAGATGGCCATAACTTTTGGGAAAATCGGGGAAAAGGACCAAACAAGGGGAAAAGAGAAAGCAATTAAATTTGGATATAAAAACTTCATCAGACTGGAAGCAGAAACAAGAAGGCTCATATGAGATGAGATGATTAGAGAGTCTAACATGGGAAACAACTCACTGGCCACTGACACTGAGCAAAGTTACTTGATTGTATTTACTTTTAATATAATCATAGTATTAAGTCTCACCCACCTCTCTAGCTGCCAGAACAATCGTAGTGAGTTGAGAGCGATCTCCCCATTCTGCTAAGAATGTTAGTGTAAGAGCTTGAACAAAAATGGGTGAAATAAAATGCAGCCACTTTTTCTGAGGTATTGTTGTGCTTGTACCCGTTTCAACATCTCCTGGTCCATTTAAGAGTTTGGTTCGTTGAAACTAAAACAAAAAATTACATCAACACTGGGAATCAATAGAAAAGGCACAAAATCATTATTATTTTATTTGCTTAAGTTCTATGGAATATGTTCCAAAGAAACTAAATTTCTGTGACCCCAATTTCTCCTTTGATTTCATGTAGTAATATATGTTATATTCTCAATTCTTATGTTCCTCAGTAAAACAAATCAAATGGCATTTATTGATCATTTACTATCCTAGATGCTATGGAAGGAACATGTAAAATGATAAAATATAGTTACTGCTTTTCAGGAGCTATAATCAATCTAATGAAGGAACTTGATTGCCAGGTTTGGTATTCATCTTTACTTCCTTTCTTACCACATTCACACTAACCCAGAATTCTATCACCGTCAGCTTTAAGAAGGGAAGCTGATCAAAATAAGATATTTTTTTGTAGCTCAGACACAACACGTGGCCACTGAAAAACCCTGAATAGTGCTTATTCCTCACTGAGTGCCTTTTTGGCCCAGATATTTAACAGTGCTATAACTTACTTCTTCATCCTTCTTCTTTAATTCTGCTTGAACTTCTTCCAGTTCCTCTTGACCCTCATCTGGGCTCATCTTCAAGCCTTCCCGAAGCATTCTAATGCCAAAAATGGCAAATAATGCAGTTGAGACATAGTATGTGTACACCCTGGGGATGACGGTGGTGGCATAGCCAAACAGAACTGAAAGAAAATGCCAACAGTGTGTCTGGTTAACTGGCCTTACCACAACAACCAAAGACAGGGTTAACATCAAGAAATCATAACTTAGCACTGTTAAAGAAAAGATGGTTCACATTAGCAACTACTGTAATAACCTTAAACAACTCCATCTTTCCCTCCACCAATACTGAACCTTTAAGTCTAACCATGGCCCTCACACAGCTTACTAAGACATCAATGGCATAGTTGAAGATGGCATATTGACCTTCCCTCCAGACCTGTTCAGCCAGGGTCTGGCTTGCCACTTATGTTGTACAGGGTCTAGGACTTGAGGTAGGCTAATTTTGATGCCCTATAAGGATTCTACAGCCTGAAGCCACACCCCTTTCATATGTAGGTATAATTTCTTAATTACAAATCTTTAAATGATTCAAACTCTGCTCCTTTTTAACTCTTTAAAATAAGTTTTATATGATTCTTTTAGTTATATTAAATATTAGGATGCATTTTGACATAATCACAAAAGCATGGAATATAATTTGCTCTAATTCAGTCCCCAGCACTCCCCGTCTGCCCCTTCTCTAAAGCTCTTTATGCAATTTATTTTTTTTAATTAGTATCTTGTAGATATACTTGATGATGTGATTCACTGTGCTATATTCATATATACACACACACACACACACACACACACACACACACACACGAAAGTTCAGTCAGATTCATTCCACTCTTCTTCTCTTTTCCTGACCTACCTTCCTCCCCACTCAATCCCGTTCATCTACTCTACTGATTTTTCCTCTATTTTGATGAAATCCCCTCTTTTTCCCCCTTTTCTCTCCCCATCCCCTTATTTTGGGTAATAAGTATGTCTTATAAAAGAAAACTAGAAATTCCTTATAGATATGTGTGTATACAAACATAAACATAACATACACATATATTTTCTAGATATGTCCACTGAAAAGCAAGAAACAAAGATGTCTCAGTAACAAAGAGTCCACCTTATACTAGATCGAGCCACTAAATGACTCCTCAAGGCTCCTTAGTCAGAGAAATTGTCTATTCCAAGACTGGGCAGACAAAGTTCAAGATGAACCTGCAATATTTTATTATACTAGAAAGTAAGGAAAAGCAAAAACAAGAGAGGATATCACAAGGCCCTAGAGACAGCTTGAAAGGGCTCCCACTGGCCAAATCTGGGGCAATGTAGCAACACACCAGTTTAATAATTAAAATCACTAGAAAAAAAGGAGTTAAAGAGCCTATATTGAATAGGCAAACAAATGGCACTTGCTTATAGAATTCCAAAGCTCACTGTTAAATGTGAATCAAATACTGGAATTACAAACTCATCAATTTACAAGCATAGAGGAAAGGTTTACATCATCCCAGAGTCATCCTAAATCTATGAGGAAACTGTCACAAGTAATAGGGTATTTGTACTGTCTTCAAGTGACTCCCTATAGAGAAAAAACAGAAACAAAAACAGAGCACCAGAGAAATTTGAACTAGGTGATCAAAATGAACATCCCAATAAGGGGAAAATGGACATTGTGTGCTTTTCAGATGGGCTACCGTTCGAGGGACACAGTATCATCTACAGTTTTCTAGTCAAGAATGCATAACTTCAGCTAGGTGACTTGAGAAGCTAAGGCAGGAAAACTGAAGTTCAAGACAAGCCTCAGCAACTTAGCGAAACCCTGTCTCAAAAATTAAAAAGGGCTGAGGATGTGGCTCAGTGGTCGAGTGCCCTGAGTTCGATCTTCATACCAAAAAAATATCTATATATATTTCAATTTAAATTTCAGTTTAAATTTGGCATATATTTGCTTTTGATAAACTAATAACTATAACTCAATCCATAAGAGATTTAACAAAAGAAACTTTCAATTTCGGGCTGGGGATGTGGCTCAAGCGGTAGCACGCTCGCCTGGCATGCCTGCAGCCCGGGTTTGATCCTCAGCACCACATAAAAACAAAGATGTTATGTCCGCTGAAAACTAAAAAAAATAAATATTAAAAATTCTATCTCTCTCTCTCTCTCAAAAGAAAAGAAAAACATGATTCACAAAAGAAAAAACTTGATAAGTTGCATCACCAAAAACTTAGATCTTTAAAAAAAAAAAAAAAGAAAGAAACTTTCAATTTCTTTCAAAATTCAGTATTAAAGTTATATTTTTATTGCAAATATATGTAATAGAAGGATTCATTTAAGATTTTTCAAGCAAAACCTTACCATTAAGTTAACCTTATCATCATAAAACTCAATAAATAAAAATAATTATAAGAAAGTTTAAATCAAATAAATGAGCCAAATAAATTTCCGACTCTCAAAAAAGAGTTTATGTCAAGCTGGAATTGGGTATATTTCAAAACACCATAACAGTTTTATTTTATAAAATATATTAGACACTAGACCTTTGCTATTCCTTCTTAAATTTGCAATAAAAAATTTCAGATAAGTTCAGTGGCAGGGGGAGGCATAATTTTTCAAAATTATTTTCAAGACTACACAGGAAAAAGGTGTGCCACTCCCTGATACTATTTCAAAAAGTAAAGGTGAAAAGTGCTGTCAGCACCAGTGGCTAGAGGATGATGCAAAAGGGTTGGGACAGAAGACAGACAGACACCACAGCTGAGGAGGAACCGAACACACAGAAGACGCTGGGACAAATATCCACAAGCCCAGGGTAGGAAGGGCACAGAGTTGACAGCCTCTTGGCCCCCTTGAAGCAAAAGCTTCAACAAAAGATTTCTCTGATACTATTCAAACTCATTCCAAATAAGTGATGTCACCATTTGCAATTCTCTCCTATTCGTATTTACCATCATAGGTACTTGCCTTCAAGGAGAAACTGTTTTTACTGTGAAAAATTAATAATTCCCTTATTAATTTCCAAAAAGTGATAAGCATTCAAATTGTTTTAATTGTTAAAAAACTCATTTATATGTTTATAAAGACATAATCTTTAACAAGTATTCAGGCATCTCATAGCCAGAAAATAATTTATTCTGCACTTTCAAAAATGAGTTTCATTATGATAAATCTATAACATTGGTGAGGAAAGAGAGGTGAGTGGCAAAGCACTCTAAATAAAACATCTCACTAATATAGACCAGAGCCCACAGTGTAAGTGGACATCATTATTTCCATTTTAGAGATGGGAAAACTAAATACCAAAGAGATTAAATAACTTTTGTGAAGCTAATACATTGCAATTCAGACTCAAATACAAGTCTGGCTCAAAGGGGAAAAGCTCAATATTTTCCAGCAAACCATGTGGCTTGAGGTATCTTTTGAATGTAGAGACCATACTTTGTTCAGTTATTTTGGCATTGACTTCTGATACTTCTTTTGAATGTAGAGACCATACTTTGTTCAGTTATTTTGGCATTGACTTCTGATACTCTAATGTTTTGAAAAAGTAATGCCCATAAAGTAGTATATCAAACAGCAGCACATGCAGGGAGTACCTGACCATAATGGATAAAAACAGCTTAATATCACAATAAACTGAAAGCTATTTCTCACTGATTACCTCCCTAAATGTCCTTCAACAGGAAAATATGCAATTTTTTTGTTGTTTCTAGAATCCTATTTCTAAAATATCAAATATAAATAAGCTTATCCAGACTGAAAAGAAAAAAAAAAAAGCTGAAACAGAATAAAAGTAAGGATAAAACATCACTGAATAAGTTATGAGGGAGTATGCATCTTGGCCGTGAACAGCAAAACATTTCATTTTAAAAGTGAGATGTGGCGTTTAAGAATTTATGTACTGACATCATTTGCTGACTAATTTCTAGAATATAAAACACATTCCAATATAACTGGCCCAGTGATTCAGTAGTCAATGCCTCACACAATGCTTTCCATTCACTCACCTCTCACTGGGGGAAAACACTCACCTGACAAGCAGGTCATCAGGGCCAAGGCAAGCATAGCCCCAGCCAGCACCGTCAATCGGTTATAGCGCATTGCCATGATGGCTGCTATGAAAAATGTCTTATCACCCAATTCAGACACAATGATGACTGATATGGCAGCGACAAATGCATGAATAAATCCCAAATTGGTTTGGGTAGCTGGGTCTTCTTTATTTGTGTGAACTGGGGCTGCTGGTGTAAATCCTTTCTGGAAGAAAAAAAAAATTATTAAATAATTATTAGTTACTTTTTGAAATAAATTATTTAACATTCTTTTATTTTACATGTGAATAAGATTCTTTTTTTTGGTCATGGTCATATTTATCACTTTCAAAGTCAATGGTAATGATGATGACCTTTGATGGTCGATCCTACAATGCACAGCTATGTAAAAATTTTCCAAACTGATTTAAAGAAAATATAGACCAGCTATGTTCAAACATTAAAATTACCTTATTTTCTAAGTATCTGTTATCTGAGATTTAGTTCTTAGCTATGTCCCATCAAATTTTTATTAGTAACTTGGGTGGAAGTCCCAGGTATGATTATCAAGCATTCAAGTGACATGAACTGAGAGACAAACTTCAACTGAGACACTATAAAATTAACAAAGTAGGACCCAAAAGCTCTCACAGTCTATATTAAGAATTAGCTAAGCTGGATGCCATGGCACATGCAACTTAGGAAGACTCTATCTCAAAACAAAAAATAAAAAGGGCTGGCAATGTAGCTCAGTGCTAGAATGCTCTGGGTTCAATCTCCAGTACAGGAAAAAAAATAAATAAATTTAAAAAAGAGTTGGTTTTAGCTAAGACAAGGTTTAATATAGATTGATGTGTACATGGTCCCACAATTAGGTCTAAAAAATTCTTGAAGATAATGTGGCCTAATAACAAGACAAACCATAGTCTTGGTTGGCAGGAAGTTGAAAATGTGTCAAAGTTTCAAAAAGGCAATAAGCATTGTGCTTTAAGGAGTTAATGGCAAGCCCCATAGTATTCTACACTGCTTGGCCCTTCCCCAAAGTGCTGTACACAGTTCTGAGGTCCCACTCTTGAAAGCACCATCCTCTGAAGATCACCCAAGATGGAGAGAGAATCTAAAACCAGGGCTTGGCAAGCTCTGTGGAGGCCAACACAGCCTGTTTGAGAAAGGGATGAAAAATAAGAAATAGGGAAGAAGGGAGGTTAAGAGATGGGAGAAGGAGAGAGGAAAGGAAAGAAATAAGATTACACAACAGTGATCTCATGTAGCCAGCAAAGATGTAACCTGCAAAACCTAAAATACTGTCTGGCCCATTACCAAAAAGTGTATTGGCTTGGACTCTAAGACAATCACAAGAAACCAGGAAAGACAGTAATTGGTAAAGTCTGTTGTTAGTCTATCCCCTCTATATGGTCCCAAGAGGCAGAAGTAAAAAAAATTATAGGTGCAGGTTTCAGATTAATTCAGAGAAAAGATTCCTATTCAAAAGAGCCACTCAAAGCTGGAATGGGCTGTAAGAGAAGATGTCCGAGTGCCAGGGAAGGGAACCACCACTTCCAAGAAACTGACTTCACTCTGGTTCTCAACCAGGACACCTATATCTCCAAGAGGGCAGCTGGCAATGTTTGGAGACACTTCTGGTTGTTACAAATGAAGGGGAACAACTGGTATCTAGTGGGTAAAATCTAAAAGCAGAGACACTGCTAGATAGCCTACAATGCACAGGACTTTCCCCCTCAACAAAAAATTATATATCCAAAAATTATACATCCAAGATAGTTCCCAGGTTGAGAAACACTGGGCTAGATAACTCACTTCGACCCTAAGAGCTTATCTTTGATTAATTTTTAAAGCTTACCAATCTCTACAAATCCAAGACATAAAAAAAGAAACCTGAGAACATAAGTTGTTTTGGAAAGGTAAAAACGAAGTAACATGTTTTACAAAAGGTAAAGGTCCTTGAAGGTCCTGATCAGAGATATCAAAAGGGTAAAATCCTAAATTTATAGTGTACATGTCATTCCTTCACACACAGCATAAAACTTCACTTCAAAACACCATGGTACAAATAAGAAAAATTTAAGTATTACTCAGATTAGATCTCTGAGCTAAAAACTGGGGTAATTTAACAACTGAAAAAACTTTCCCAGCCTTGGCAGTCAGCTCTAGATTGTGCATGTACCATCTTAAGGGCTTCCAGGTTCTCTACCTCACCACCAGTTCTCTACACCACACTATCCAGTGTGCCTTTAAAAATGAGGCTCTGGTCTCTTCTGATACCCTAGCATTACGCATCCCAAAGACACATGCATTTCACCTAGGCTCTACCTAACATAATGCTTTCCTGCTGGATAGGCTTTTTATATGAAAAAAATTCATTATAAAATTTCAAAATCTTAAATTGAAGGAAAATTTGAGGGATAAATATATACAATTTATGATCAATTAACACTAAGGTCAAAAAGAAAATGTTTACTTTTAAAATCAAATCACAGTAGTGATCAAAACTACATATTTCCATGGTTTTATAATTCCTAGCCACAAAACCTTGGCTACATTATTTAGTTTCTGTTCCTCTGTGAGATGTGGAGGATAAAATAAAACTTGAGACTACAACAAAACTACATATTCTTAAAAACCTTCCTATATAGAGAACATAAGAAAAGTTAATTTATAGCTTTTGTTGCGTAGAAAGCCCTAGATAGCCAAAATCATACTGTTAAATATGATCCTGATGATAAAACCCTATAACAACTGGAGACTGGAGCAGGAGGATCACCAAGTTTGAGGACAATCTGGGAAACCAAGCAAGACCTTATCTATAAATAAAAATTAAAAAAGAGCTGAGATACAGCTCAGTGGTAGAGTGCCCTGAGTTCAGTCCTCAATACTGCCAAACGAAGAAAGAAAGAAAAAGCAAACAACAACAACAAAACCAAAACAACTGAAGACAAAAAGTACCAGGGCATTGTGATGACAGAAGATTTTTTAAAATAAAAATATTATAAAAATACTGGAAGGGTTGGAAAATTATCAGTTATCATTCACTGGCTGCTCACTATATACAAGGATCATTTTTTCTGCTCTACGGTCACAGCGGTAGAATCCTTAGCACTGGAAACAAAAGGTCTGGGTTCATATCCAAGGGTTTACCATTTACTGTGACTTTGGGCCAGTAAGTAAACTTTCCTGTGACTCAAGTTCATCTCTAAAGTAAGAGGTAACTATGCCCCAGGACTGCTGTGAGCTAATGAATGAAGTCCTTAAGATGGTGCCTAGCACTCAGTTTTTGTAGCATCACACAACATGACCAGCTTATTTATCTTCATGAAACTAATTACACCATGTTGCTACATTTTAAAACATAAAAAGAAGTAAAATTATTTGAACTATTTTAACCCAATACCACTAGACTACTATTTAAATTGTAAGCAATATTTTAAAAATTACTAATGAAATTTTTTTTTCATACCGTCAATTCTAGTGTACATGACACATGGCTCATGGCTACAGTACTGGCAGTGCAACCTGAGAGTCTGCCAAGCTTCTGCTTACCATAGGCCCTGAGTGAATCACACAGTCCAACGTTTCCGACCTCCTTTTCATTATGGTCCTATTAATGAAGATTCCTCAAGAGATGGGGAGGGGAGGGGACAGAGGTGTAGGAAAGACGGTGGAATGAGAAGGACATCATTACCCTAGATACATGTATGATGACTCTACATCATGTACAGAGAAATGAAAAGTTGCACTCCACTTGTGTACAATGAAATGAAATGGATTCTGCTGTCATGTATAACTAATTAGAATAAAAGTAAAAATAGACTCCTCAAGAGACAACTCAAGTAGAACCTCTTGAGCAAAGCCTACCCCAGTAACTTCAGCTGTTAATGATCCTGCACCCCCTAAAATAAAACTCTACACACACTACAGGCAGTAAGTCACAGCAGAGACAAGAAAAAAAACTTAGTTTAAGATAGAAACACTCAGGAACTCACCTTTTTGTATTAGAAACATGTATAAATGTAATGCTATCAATAGAAACTATTAAATGGTAAATCCATGTAACAATAATATGGAGCTAAAAGATGTTCTATATATACTAATATAGAAAAATCATTAAGATGCTTCAAATATATGTCTGTAGTCATCATAATGGGGGACGCATGTAATATATAATATGTATACAACTGTAAATATGGACCAAATCTCAAGAAACAGTAATGGATGTTTCGAAGGAAGGAATCAGAATAACTAGGAGTCAGCAAACTTTTTCTTAATCAAATATTTAATAGCTTCATGGGCTACTTAGTTTCCATGGTAACTCTGCTGCTGCAACTTGAAAGCAGCTGTAGGTGATACCTGAGTGAGTATTGCTGTGTTGAAATAAAACCTTATTCACAAAAACAAGCAGTTAGTGAAAAACTGATCCCTGAACTAGAATTCAAGGGGAAAAAGCAGCATATTTCTCACTATAGGTTTCTCTCTACCTTCTAGATTTTATCATGCACACAATTATAGACATGAAGTGCATCACTTCAAAAACCTCTTAACCTAGCCTCTTATTCCAGCTCTTGGAGATCATTCCTTGCAGTCTAAGGCTGGCTTCAGGCAGGTCCAACCTGAAAGCACACTGTTCTGCACTTAAGTTTTGCTACCTGGGCATGTGGGGAGTTAATGGTGGGTCAACCTTTGACCAATTAGGGAAGTCAGTTGTGAGATTCATTTCATAAGGCTCCTTGAAGGTCTCAGTGGAATGCAGTACTAGTCACTCTTGGTGCAGCTAACTTGAACAAGTATTCATCTCCTATCCTGTACTGGCAATGGGAAAGAATACAAGCATGTTCTGAGACCAGGCAGTAAGCCATGAGATGACTGGGCAAGATGAGAAAGATATTGGGTATAGAATGAAAATGTTATGGTTATAGTCTAACTTAGGAGCAACAGTATAAAACATAGGCACTGTGACAAATAATCAGAGCAGAGTTGAGAATACCAGTTACTGGACCAATTAATTAGGAGGTCAGCTGCATAACACCAGTGCTGAGGACAAATCAGAGAAGAAAGAAAGTATACATATGATAGAAAGGAAAAAACAAATCAATGGGCCTTTAAAGAGAGAGAGTATAGGATCAGAAATAGCTTTGAGTCTCATTGAATGAGAAAAATATTAGTAACTCCTAAAGGAATCAGATTGATTTCAGATATGGTTTCAATTTGAAG